ATCATAATGATAACAACAACATTATACTCCCATGAAAAGGTATCATATTCAATATTTTTCCTAGATTGGTAAATGGGCCTTGCAGGTAGGGGAATAGGAGCAGTTTTGCAGAAGAGATAAAACCTTACACATAGCACACTACCTTAAAACCTCCCAGCATTGTGACATGTCGAACACTATAACGTCAGGCTCAAGTTCTTGCCCTGGCTGCCTCATAAAAGGCAAGTCGGAAAGCGGAGAACAAAAACAAACATGTCTGTGGTGCCCTGGCCGCTAATTAACTCTGACGTGGTCTCAGGTTATGTTTTTGTGCAAAGCAGTGGCCGTGCACTGTGGTGTGTACATCTAGTCCCATCCAACATTTTCAACTTGTTTATCATGAAGACTGTGTGGAAGTTAAACAGCATTTTTGGTTGCTGACGATCATGTAATATTATAGAGAAGAATGGCAACAATACTTGGGGCTTAGGAAGCTCTTTCAGCAAACTGTGAAATCAAGGGGCTTTCAAAAATGAAGGCAGATAACCATGGATGTAGTATTGTGCTGGTGGATAAACAGACTTTTATTGAAGCTGCCCGGTCACTGAACCATGGAGACAACATTACCTGGACTCACAATGGAAGTCATCCTTCCACAAACGCATGGATACAAGTCTTCGTGAGCGAACATGTTTTTTCCCATTTATCTCTTTAATCAGTTTCTTAGGGATCATTACAACGGTAAAATATGACTTTTCTCAACCTAAATTCTAATAGGTATCCTTATCACTGACCAAAAAACCTATTTCTCTTATCTGATCAAAATCGGGTAATGAAGAGTGCCAAAAACACCAATACATCACAGCCTAATGAAGCACCAATCAACGACCCCGAAACATCCTCAACAGGTAGACCATGCTTACTCATCACCCATTCATCACAACCTCTGTCATTGGATGACAGCCAGAATTTGAATTCGACTAAAAGAAGCCTGAGAAACAGACTTTGGCATTCATTATGTCCATTAAGATCCCAGCTTCCTAGATTCCGTTCTCGTATTCCAGGATGCACAAACATTCCGTACAAACAAGGCAGGAATACTGAATCTCGGCTTGGCCCACCAGTGCCATGTTTATGTTTGCAAGGGGCTCCTCGCAATTGGGTAGGGTATCCAAACATTTGTTCTGCATAGGCAGGAGATTACTGGCACTCAGTCTTGAAAAATAACGACTGCCCCTTGCTGGTTGCTCTCCCCGGCAAAAATATCACATTTTAATCTGTATCTATCGTACTTGAAAAAACTGTAAAACAAGAATTGATATGGCTTCCAGGAGCTGTCACATTGACGGAGTGGGTCCACACAAGGGTGAAAATATTGCTCCTCATTATTCAGTGGCTAAAAGGAGGCATAAATAAACAACTGTTTAAAAGCTGACAGGGGGGCGAAGGGCAGAATGCTGGCATGGTAGAATTCACTCACAAGGGCAATCTCATATCAGGTTCCATGATATATAGTTTCCAGAAAGACTGAAAAATATATCCTATACTTCCAATTCAAGTGTGTAGGAATTTTTGGACTGCATTCTTTGGCATTAGGACCACTTGCGACAACATTGAATCTTCTGTGTTAATGCCTATTACAGCACAGTAGTAGTAAAATTGACCCTTCCCCCAAAAAATCAAAGCTCAATACTGAATACAAAATCAGCAGGCTTGGCCTCCTTCAATTTTTCTGAATGAAACGTCTTACTAATTGCCAACAAAAAAATTAACGATCTTAGACCCTGTTCATACCAGACTTATATTTAGCGGTTTCAACCGGTTTTTCAAAAACCGGTTTTTATTTAACCTGGTGTGAACGCAAATTAACCGGTTTTTTAGGGGTTTAAATCCGATTTTGAAAAACCACCTCGGGAGGTGGTTTTTGATGGGTTTTTGTGGGGGTTTTCCACCGAAAAACCTGGTCTGAACGCTAAGGGTTTATTGAACCGGTTTTTGCGTCATAATTCCGGGGTCACGGGATCAGCATCCTGGCCGTGTGCGACCTGCAAGCTTTTTTGATCGCGTTGTTTTGACCAACTTGAGTTTGTTTCCACTGTGTTTTTCCACGGTTTTTCTTCATTTTGCGATGGAATCAGCAAACGCAACCTGGTCTGCGGACGGGACGCTCCTGATACTTAGGTTTGGAGAGCAGGAGTCGCCAAATTCGAAAAAGCTATGGGAGGGGGGGCTCTACCGAAACAAAAATGTTGGAGTAGGCTGATTTCTTGAAGATAAAGGATCAGTGCCGCTGACTGCCGCACTAAGGTAAAAAAACAAACTGAAGACGACATACAAGCAAGAAGGCCAAGGACAACAATCAGAAGAGCGGGAGGAACGGTTATTCAAACTGCAGTCATGGCCGATTAATTGGATATTCACCGGACAGGATTTTTACAAAACCGGTTATCAAAAGTCTGGTATGAACGCTAAGGGTTTTAGCCGGGTTTTTGAAAAACCGGTTGAAACCGCTAAATTTAAGTCTGGTATGAACAGGGTCTTAGAGAACTCAGCCTTGAGGTTTTCCCACCCTGTGACAAAAATAACCTCAGACCAGTTTTGTGAGGTCCACCCCTTTGTGTTGAACAGTGTGTATTATCCAGATAAGGGCGGAGATATGCAAATCAACCACAACTATCCAAACTGCCTCTTTTGTCTTTGGGGTGGGTGATAGCTGCTCAAGGGATTTGCATAAACTGGTGTAAATGTTTGGGTTCTGCACCAAATACAATGTATCCACTGTTAATCCCTTTTAAACACAAACCTTCAAAAGAAAGAAGATATCTTCCTGTGAGGTAAAATTAGAGAAATTGGTCTTCCTCACTCCATCTTTCCAAATGAATCCCATCTTGACCCCTGGGGACATTTAAGTTGCCCTTCGCAATATCTTCTCACTATTTACTCTCCTCGGTTGGCAAACGCAAGCCGGGCATGAACTGCAAATATGGCAGCGCGAAGCAAGTTCACCCAACGACGCGTTATAAATCCTAATTGAGGAGCTCCATTTCGCACGCTTCCTCAAACATTGTAGTTATGTGACAGTTGGAGACACTACGGAAGTAATGACAGACCGGTAAACATCATACTTCTAACAAAACCGGCGTTAACTGTTTACTGAATTCTCCCAGCACGGCCAAATTTATATCTGAAATCTACCTCCGAAATGGACCAACTTCACGGACAATGAATGACCGCAGTAAAAACTGCATTGGCGGTCCGGTGTAAACCCGTTTAGCGTAGCGTGGGGAGTGCTTGCCTAGCGACTGAGCACACGCTGAGTCTACGACATCTGTCAGCTCCAGTTCAGAAGAGTCCCTGTGATTTCACTTGGCGGTGGAGATTATATTTACCCTGACCAGGGCAAGGGGAAAAGGGGATTCCTAACAAACTGTGGGCTTGGAAATGTTTGATTTGGTCACAAAAGGGGTATCTAGACCGCTACTGTGGTATTTACACACCAATTCTTCTTTACAACTTGTTGTCATTCCTGAGAGAGCCGTCATGATGCCACAGAAATAGTGCTGCCTTCACCCCTTTAAACTGAGCGCATGCCAGGAATTTGGAGTGAATATAAAATCACGCAAACCAGATGCAGCAGGGCAGAAGACCATGACCTAATTCCTCTTTATAGAACCAGGAGTCCAAAACAGTTCATTGACCAACATTTGGGACAGACGTATAGGAAATGATGGCTAAATTAATTGTTGAAACATATCCTGTATGAACTGAGGTGCCCTCAGTCAATGAACTTTTTAGACACAGAAAATTTCTCGAAATACATGTAGAATCATCTGTTCAAAAAAAGCTCTTGACCAACAGTTGAGGCAGACATGTAGAAAATGATTGCTTAATACTGCTGAAATACAGTATACTGAAATATAGCAAGGACATTATATTATGTCCTTGAATAGTTTATGAAGATAAAAGCTTGAACAAAAACTCTAACATCTGGTTTTCAAACGAGATCAAAACCGTCCTTGGCGTAACAAACAACCCAGTCATCTTTTCCCTTATTGTTTTCACAGAAGACAAAACAGTTTGTACAACTGACAAGTCCTTCCAGTCAGACCATCTGCATTTGGTGGATCACAGAACCCCCCTGGCAGTTGAGTGAAAACTCGCCAGTTGAAATGGTAATTACTGAACCCATTACTGATTATCATCTGAAAAAGGCTGTGTGTTTTCAGCAGGGTCGCAATTTCTGACTTTCAAAACACTGGATGGTATAATTGTGGGGATAAAGGCAGCTGGTCAGAAAACTGGCCTCAACTGTATTACACGATTACACACATATACAGGAAACAAAAGTGTTTCATACTGGACTACTTTGTAAATTGTAGTCATACGTGAATGAGATTTTTATCTAACACACTATGCAGCAAGTAGAAATTATGTAGTGTGTCAGTTGGAAAGAGGACAGCAAATAAAAAGGCAAGCCAACTGTTGAAGGGAGTGTCACTGTGGTATTGTATACAACTTACAAGAGAGCCATTGTGCGGTGATGTCACCCAAAATATAACCGTCATCTATAATGCAGGATGGACGGCTATCGATGGATTAGGCACCTTTATAATCTTTGTAATATAATCAACATGGGACTGACTAGATAAATTGATATGAAAGAAATTACCGTGTAAAGGACAACAATATAACAATTTTGGTATGAATGGGTTAGAGAGAAAAAAAGAGAGCAATGGCAGGAAAAAAACTATGGCTTGTGACCTTTGCGTTCAAGCAAAAACATGCTCTGTCATTTTTCCACTCGCCCGATTACAGTATGTGATTCTTCCTGGCCCACCATTGTTGTGGTTTTCCCTTCTTGACTCATATACAAAACTCTCGACTAATATTTTTATTTCTGGTGGTGTCACTGATTCCAGTTTCCTCAGCAGACAAGCAACCCTGTCAGGATAGGAAGATGTGTCATTTCCCCAGGTGTATGTAGGTGACTGAGTACAGGTGAGAATGGGAGAGAGCCTTACCCGTATTCTCCTCATGGCAGCAACAATCTCCACACGACTGCTGGGTCTAGGAACATCCAGGGTCCCGATATACTGTGTGGGAAGAAAAACATGAGATATTCATCATTCAAGTCCTAAACTGACCATTAAAACTTTGTGGTAAAGAGTTGTTGATAGTATAACATCTTCAGGTGTAATACAATCTACGTTGGTTTGCCAGCAAATTGCATATTGCCATTTTGGAAGCTAGTTTTGCTTCATAAAAATGCTGGAAATAACCTATTGATTTCCATATCATGGACTATATTGTCAAGGCAAATTAAGCAATTATAAATATGCCAATATCTTCTTGAACATGTCTGATGTCCCTGAAATTAGATTATCATTATGGCAAGTCAATCAATCAATCAATCAATCAATCAATTCATACTATCTATTATGTACTTCTGAATACTACTGACTCTGCTATGACATGTATTCTATGCTTGCAGGATTCTTAAGTATTTTTCCGCCTTGTATTTCTGAGACAGGAAATGTCTTGACTTCCATTCCTATTTCCTGAGTTGGGCCTGATGTTCAGGACAGATGTAGGAAGGAGAAGGGGAGGGGCACACGGTCTGCTAGTAGAACTCTCTAGTCTAAAGTACAACGTGCCATCATAATTTCTGTCTAATCATGATACCTTGCAAATTTGCAATCAATATCACGATCTCACCAGTTGTGCAAAAATCGACCTCAGAAAGATCAAGCTTCTGTTGCAAAATAAAAGGCTTACACAGGAAGGGAAAGACTGTGGTAAATTGTGATGAAATACAATACACACTCTGTGCCACACACGCCCATATGATTATTTATAAACAGTAAACAACGTCTTTCATATAAGAATGGGAATCGTCAAAAGGGTACGACAACAACAGGTTGGAATGTTGAATTTTGTTATAAAATATATGATGTGTTTTACCTTGGCCTGGAAGATAATCCCATGTTGGAAAGCTTCCTCGTTGTGTAGAGGTATCCTCGAGTCGTACCCGTCCTCGACAAGGTCGTAGTCCTTCTTTTTGGAAGGCATGGCGATCTCAGGTCTCTTTCCTTCCTTCCCTCCCTTCAAAATCTCAAGATGATAATTTATATAAAGGCGGAGGCGACCTTCCTCACGCCTGGATCGTCAACTGGTGCCGATCAGTAGCAGTATCTGATCGGGATAACTTCAGTCCTAAAACGGCCTCAAGTTGTCTACAGTCAACAGTTCAAAATTGGGGGGAAACAGCACCAAAACCCGTTGAGATCAACTCACTTACTACACGCCCCAATACGTTGTGATCGCTCGATTTCTCAAACAGTCCCCCCTTCTTACAGAGACTGTGATCCTTGTCCAGGGCTGCCAGATGTCCCTGTGGTGTTTGGAAGCGTCCCTGTGTGTTTGTAGAGCCAACAGAAGACGTGGAAGTGAACTCCTGCCGCTGGTTCAAGCCAACGGCTCCGTCCTCAACTTTTCACCCTCCAAAATGTCGCCAAGATTCCCCCGTCGGTTTGAAATGCACTTCCGCGAGGCAGAAACTGGCGCGGATATCTCTCTCTACTCCTCGGGAAGATGTTCTGGTGTACCTTCCGTGTCTTCCGGTGACATCAAGAGCGACTAGACGACAGAGAAGGGAGCATACCAGGGCCGGGGAGTCATCCCTGCTCCCAGGGTCGACAACTTCCGCGGTGCCAGAGGAAAGTAGCGAAGCAGTCGCGGGTCACGTGGTCCAACCGAACTCGATACTTCGCGGATTTGCATTTCGCGCATCCCGCGCAGCAGTGACCTCTAGTGACAATAAACCAAACTGCAGTCGATCGATTTGGACCATGCAGCAGCGACCTCTAGCGGCAGCAGTATGTCGATCAGTGTACAACGACTAGCTTCTACCAGGCTTGGGGAGGCGGCTGGAAAGAGTAGAAATCCAGCCGCCCCCCCAAGCCTGGTAGAGGCTATCCAACGACATAGAAGAATGCATTTCATCCTTTCTTATTGCGGATGCAGCCTGAAATGACTTTCCAATAAAGGAGTCTCGAGAAATAACACGAACAGCTTTTTTTCACTCATACCTTACTTTGATCCCTTGCAATTAATCTCCAAGCAGATCCTAGAGTGGCAAAATATAGTATGAAATTGGCCAGGCAATATTCATTGGCCCTAATACGCCACCCACTCTGGCCAATGGATATTGCCTGGCCAATTTGATGTTGTCTTTTTGTTTGATTGGTTCTGATTGGAGATTACTTTGCAATATGAATACATGTATATGTAATTTCATTTCTAAGTGTATATACTGTTACTGTTCGATCTTAATTTTCCCTCTTTCTTAGTTGTTTGTAACCAAATTTAAATTGTTGTCTAACTGACAAGGAAAAATGGTCCAAAATTCTTTTTAGCATTTGTAGTTTTGTGAAAAGATAATGTCAGTGCAATTCATGTAGCATATTATGAAAACCCAGATTACACCTTATTGATTATACTACATGTACATGTAGGTCATGATACTAGTAGATAAAAAATAAATGAGCAATACCTGCCAAAACAGACTGTTTTAGATTTTCTTTTTTTCCAAGAACGATAAATGAGTGGAACAAGTTACCGGGCCAGCTTGTAAAAGCCCAGACAGTGGAGGCCTTCAAGGCCGGGCTTCTGGCCGCGCAGCCATAGTCCGTCGCACCCCCCCCTCTCAGTGATACCCCAGTAGGGGTGGTTAGAGAGTACTCAAGAAGAAGAAGAAGAAGAAATGACTCATTTGTGAAGAAGAAATGACGATAGAAATAATATATTTGCAAACAATGGCATTTTAATGTCAAACTTGACTATGCCTCAATCCTTGACAACAGATACTTTGTGACTTTGTTACATATAGTAGAATAACAGGTTAACGTTACACATCATTAAATAAAAAAATATAAAAAATAAAAAGAGTTACTGAAAACTTGTTTTTTGTTAAACATGAAGCTAAAACAAAGCTTCAACTGTTCAACAAGAGTTACTTAAAGCCTTTTTTAGGCTAAAACAAATCTTAAAATCTAAACAACTATTTTCATGAACTGGTCCTTCTGCTAGCACTATGTGCCGGTGAGTTGTAGGAAGTATTCACATCACAGAACAGGTTCCATCCTCTCCATCATCACTGCATGGGCAGGGGAGACCTGAGTGGCCGGCAAAGTAGCACTTGTTGCACCTCTGAAAAACACAATGATTAAGAATGGATATTAGGTTATTTTACCGAGCAGTGATGCCAGGACAAGTCATATTATACATGTCATGTATATAAGCAGGCCATGACTTTTGAAGCAATAACAATTTGCTAGGTCAGTAAGACTCTTACATCATCATGTTGGCCATTATAATACTGTATATGTATTTATCATCTACTAGTACATTCATCCAAAGCTTGTGAAGGTAAATGAGGTTAAGCAAAGAGTACAAGAGCTCTGCCATGAACTTTCTAGCCTGGTTACAAAACCTATTATAGCTCCGGAGTCCTACTATTTGCATAGAGGATATAGGATTTGGGAGCTATAATAGGTTTGGTAACCAGCCTATGAACTTTCAACTCTACAAAAATAAACCCTTGGATGTTGATCAGAACCACTTGGTTACCTCGCAGTGGTCACTCCTGTAGTCCCCACACCCGTGGCACTTCTCACAGTGGTACCTGGGACGGTTCTCGTAGTCCACGAAGCTGTTCCAGCACCAGGAGTACTGCCACTCATACCCACACTCCTCCCCGGGACAGTGGGCCACCCCGGGCACCATATCCTTCAGCTGCAAGGGAACAAACAAGAGTCAACATCAACAAGACATCACAATTGTCCCAATCTACAATCAACTGATGAAAGGAGGGATCGCATGGTCTAATTTTCAAAGTTTCGTACTGCTATGCAAAATAACTCCCCCTGAACTATTGCAACATGACTGTACTAAACACATGTGATGTGACTGTAATAAAATATGTACATGTACTTGAATCTCTCTTGACATGAATCTATCATGACTGACCTGTACAGACTCCTCGCAGCACTCGAGCTCATAAGTCTGCTCCAGACGGCCTCGCAGGTCCTTAACCTGCACAAAAATAGATAATACAAATTAATGAGGTATACTGGTAATTTGACTTCTTCAAACCGACAATCCCATGTGTACCAATTGCTTTTCTTTATATATGGTGCACAGTGCTACTGAACTGCGCTTGACGAATGAGTAACTCATACTGTTAGCCAGGGTGCTATACTATTTACATACTGGGGCTCTAATCCCATACTCATTTTTTTATTACCCAGTATACAAATATGCTGGCACACCCAGGCTATCCTACTGTACCTTGTAGATGTTGTCCATGAGACATTCGTCCAGGGCTGCTGACCCGAGGTCAATGTCGTACTCTTTGAAGATCTTGAAGGGGTTTGCGCAGTCGCTACACTTGCAGGCCTCCCCACATGCCTCTCCCCTCTTCCCACAGGCACACTTCCTGCAATAGCAAATAGGGGCACATTAAAATCATAATGATATGCTGATCTGTGGAACAGAAATAACAGCTAACACTGTGCCTCTGCTGCTGCAAGGAATTGAGATACAATGTACATGGTAGAGTTTGAATTTTCTTACGAATGTACATGGTTGATTAATACTGTATCAACTTCTATCATGGAGCTATAAAAGAGAGCCCCAATCCATGCTTCTATTGGAGACAAAGTTACATCTACTGCATGTTTTGTTTTGCATTCTGAGTTAGGGACACATTAATTGCTTTCACTTTTTATACCATCCCTGGGATGACCCACAAATCTGTTTTTCCTTAGGATCATATCCTACTTTTCATGTGAATTAGACTGTCCTAAATAGTAACAATCATCCCATTAGTGTTTTAGGACTGAAACATAGATACAGCAGGAGGTATCACCTTGTCCTACAGTCTGCTCTACATCCACACTTTGGGACCTTGGGAGGACTGGGCTTCTTCCTCTTGGGCTTTGGCTTGGTGGGCGCTGGGGAAGGAAACAGAAAATTTTTTTCTTAATCTTATACAAAAGATAACATGGCACTCAAGGTGTCAAGTGCATCCATATCAACTTCACTTGTTTGTTTAAACCTTTTTCTTATTCATGAAATACTAGTATGTAAATCAGCATGCTGGCCGCTTTTCATTCATTCATTGTCTCTTTGCGGTTCAGACAATAAAATGCACAACAATGATACATAATTTTTGGTGCATTTCTACATTTTTGTTTTGCATAATACTAGGTTTTGGCGGAGGTAGGCAGGGCTACAGCATCATTTCACACTTCAAACTTTCCATAAGAAATAAATTTCCACCAGTGAAACAATTGACTTCCGAACACAATGGCTTTACATACACTGTGAAGGTTACAGGCATATCACAGTAGACATGTCACTAAAACCATAATATAATTTGTAAACCAAAGGACAAATTCCGACGTTATATGAGATAATTTGATAAAGCTTGAAGTGGATTCAGTCTGAAATGTCTGACCAATAAAATTGAGAATTTCTTTTGCCGTTTGTTCATTGGCGATACAGCACAAAATCCACTGGGCATTTCACACTTCAACTTTTCGCGCCACAGGCACAGGGTGTGTATTCAGATCCACATCTGGTTTCCATCAGACGCGCTGTCAGCAAGAGACATTCCCGCCAAAATCGGCGCCATTCTGCGGCCATTCTGCTGGCTAAAGTTCAAAACAAGGAGGAAGGCGCCTCCGAGGGAAAATACTACAGGATCTGGTTGAAATTACTAGTATTGGAAAGAGGCAATAATTTATGACATTTCACCCCAAACCTAATGATTTTTGGAGACATGATCTTCTACCCTCAAAGATGGAGATGTAAAAAATATGCCTCAAACTTTTGGGGACGTGATCTTCTATAATTTATTTCCTAGATACGTGCAATTTTCGAGATCGATGGATAACTTCGGTTTCTGAGGTAAATAGTTCACCAACTGGAAAGGTCGGTCGTGGCCAACCTTGAATCTCGAGGCTCCGAGATCCAAGCGCCCTGAGCTGAAGGAAGTTTTATCGTGATCATAAATTTCACTGATGCAAGCAAGTTACTGCAGTGAGACTTTTACGTACCTTTGTTCACTGTGTCGGGTTCAGTGTCCAGAGCTGCGCGCTTCTTAGATGCCGGCATTATGATAAACAACGTAGAGCTGAGAAAGAAAACAACGTTTACAAGGAGACTGCTGAAGTGACGTCCGTCCTGTCTCGAGATCTCCGCCAAGAATGAGAACTGCTGACTAAAAGTGGCGCGAAATCTTATATCGAGATGCATTGTGGGATCCACTGATCTTCTAGCGCAGTGATTGGCCTGTTCTACTCTCCAAGCAGAGGTTTGGGTTTTGCTGTATTTTTAGGCATTTTTTATCGGGATCTCTTTTTTGCACTGGAATTTTCATACGGAAGGATAAAAACCCGATCAATTGATGAGATGTGGAAGTATAATACAAGGCTACAAAGTTAGTGTATCAACTTTTGTAGACGACAACTCTTGCAAAACAGCTGGGCGTGGGAATTTGTTGGCTTGCAATACTCCGATCTTTCGCTAAACTTCGCTGTTAAGAGGCCTCCCACAATGCATCCGGATACAAAGTTCGCGCCAAAAATGCATTTATCCATCGCATCTCCAGAATATATGGCGTTCTCATTTAGGACGCTAGGCGGCAGCACTTTACAGTCAAGATTAGAAGAAAGAATACCCAGAATGCCCCATTCAGCCTCGGTTTCGTTCTCTCTCATTGTTGCTCGCTAAGGCGGTAGGTACAATTTTTCGCTCTTGAAATTTTCTTGCTTTTTCTTGAGCATTTTTGCCTTTTCTGGTGAGAGTTCTTAGACATGACTACTCCAGTCACGTCTGTGGTTTCCACCACTGCGGCTGTGTCGCAAACAACCGCTAGTTTGGTGGATATGTCGAAATATGTAGCGTCGACCTCGGTCGCGGCGCTCTCGCCCTTGGGCGAACAACAACAACATGGCGGGTTTCTTGGTGCCACTCTTGTGCCGCCAAGGACTGAGCCAGGTGGCCAAGGGTCTCAACCTTTTGGCCAGAATTTTGTCATTGACGACGCAGCTTTGTTCCAACACATCAATAGCATGGTGTCACAAGCTGTAGCCCAGTCCCTACAGGCACAGGGCTTTGCCAGAGAACAAATTTCTCAACCCATAGTTTCCGAGCAAGACTCGTTTTCCACCAGCGAGGACTCTGATCATGGCCGACGTTCTCGCTCTAAACATAGGTTTATACGGACCTATGCAGACCGTTTTCGGGAACGTTCCCGTTCACCCTTTAAGGCTATAAGGAGGAAGAAGGCGATCCCGGCTGCCAGCCAAGCTGCCGGCCGGGGTCGGAAAGCCAACCAGCAGCCCACTGCCAGTCTATCTGCCAGTCCGGGCACATCCTCCAGACTGGAATCCCATAATGATGATTCCTTAAGCATACATCCAGCCTCTGGTTCTGAGAGCCTGGATGAGAATGATAATGTAAGTCTCCCAGCGGAGACTTCTCTTTTATGTCCCAACCCTACTTTGGATCAGCCTGCATTTTTGCAGGATTTCCGATCTTGCGAGGCAGGGGTTCGCATTTCCCAACCAGTTTTTAACTGGTTCAAAAGGCAGAGATGCCAGACTTGGAGGGACAAGGAGTTTATGGAGGCAGAGAAGCCACACAAGTTGGATGCTGAGCAGCTCGAAGTAGTTGCAGCTCCAAGGCTACAGCCTTCACTGAGAGACAAGTGGAAAACTGTCAAACACAACGGCAAATTCAAAGTCCAAGTCCAAGCTGTGAAGCTGGACGACACAATTTGCGGGATACAAGAGCATGTGTTAAAGGCTGCTCAGCCCATGTTGAAATCACTGGATGATTTGCAACAGCTCACGGTATCCGAGGACTCAGAGACACGTGAAAAGGCGCTAAGCATAGCAACCAACCTCAACGTGACAGGGCAGTTGTTGGGAATGGTTTGTAACCAAGTCACCTCCTTCAGGTAGACGACTGATCCACGAGTGGGTGGACTCGCGCTATAAGTGTCTTGTGGATGATAAGGCTCAGTCGGAAGATGATCGCCTGACCATCCCATCCTGTAAGTGGTTATTGGGACAGGATATCATCCAGAAAATAGAGGAAATTGAGAAGGCAGATAAAACTGTCAACAAGCTCAACGTTACTGGACTCAGCCACTAACACCAAGGGCTACAGATACCAGCAATCCTCCGGGAACGCTGGGGGACGGTACAAGAAGGGACCTGGCCCTTACAAAGGGAAGGTCGGTAAACAGGACTCCTTTCGTCCATACCAACAGTACCGTGGCCTTCAAGTGCAAACCTCTGGGAAAGGTGACCGTAAGGTCACAAAGCCTGCCACAAAAAACTAATTTGTCCTTTGTTGGCCCCCGGGTCACTTCCGCGGTCGCCCCCTCCGCTGGGGCCTTCGGAACAGGTTGCCGGACGCCTGCGGTTTTTTCTACCACAGTGGCAGTCCATCACAACAGACCCATGGCACAAAGACTATTCAGGGTCTAAGGCTCCATCTGAAGGGGCGACCGCGGCAGCGTTTCCCTCCGAAAGAACATGTTCGTTCACCGGAGGAGTCTCAGATAATTTTTCAGGAGCTCCAATCCCTACTGGAGAAAGGAGCTGTGATTCCGACTCCCTCGGTAGAGGGAGAGTTTCTATCACATCTGTTTTGGTTCCCAAGAAAACTGGCGCTTGGCGCCCAGTAGTAAATCTTCGACCCCTTAAACCAGTATGTAGACGCTCCACACTTCAAAATGGAGGGCCTACAGGATCTAAAATCGCTGTTGATCGAAAGCGATTACATGGCGTCCATAGATATTCGGGACGCTTATTTTCACATACCAGTTCACGAGTCTTTCAGAAGACTTGCGCTTCCGCTGGAAGGGTCAGATTTGGGAGTTTTCAGGTTCTCCCCTTTGGCCTGAACTGCGCGCCTCGGGTTTTTTACCAAGGTTACCAAACCCATCTTGGCTAAGGTCCAAGGGGATAAGAATTGTCATCTATCTGGACGACATACTGGTCCTAGGCAGGACTTTTGCGCAGTGCAAGGAGAACGTAGATTTTGTGGTAAGTCTCCTGCAATCTCTGGGTTTCCTCATCAATTGGGAAAAATCCCAGCTGGTTCCTGTCCAGGAGATCGTTTTCCTGGGGATGGTGATCAATTCCATTCATCTAATCTTGTCACTCCCAGAGGACAAGGTGATAAATATACGTCAAACTTGCACATGCAAGTGTCACTCTGACAACTGGCGAAGTTGCTCGGACAAATGACAGCAACGGTGCAGGCAGTTTTGCCTGCACCCGTTTATTACAGAAGTTTGCAATTTTATCTGAACAATGCCCTGTTCAGGGGTCAGGGATGGGACAGCCTACTCCATCTGACCCAAGGTACCCTTTCAGAACTCACCACTTGGGTGGAGTGTCTGGAAAGTTGGAACGGGAAGTCGTTCCTTCCTCCACCAAGGCAGACATGCCTGACCATAACATCAGATGCATCCCTAGCGGGATGGGGAGACACCTGTGGCCACCTAAAGGCAGGCGGCCGCTGGACGGACGAAGAGAGCAAGCTCCACATCAACGAGCTGGAGCTCAAAGCAGCCTTCTTCGGTCTGAAATGTTTTGTAAAACATCTTCAGAATCAGCATGTAATAATCCTGAGGTTGGACAACACCTTCGCAGTAGCGTAAATCAACCACCAAGGGGGTTGCAGGTCTCTACCCCTGTGTACCACAGCGGTCGAGATTTGGAAGTGGGCCTTAGCCCGCAAGTTGCACCTGTCAGCGGAACATCTTCCAGGTGTTTTCAACACAGTGGCGGATGCAGAGTCCAGATCGTTCAACGATCACACCGAATAGACTCTGAGACCAGATCTGTTCAAGGCTGCTTGCCGACATCTGAAGTTTCGACCTCAGATCGACATGTTTGCGTCACGGCTGAACAAACAACTTCCTCTGCTCTGCTCCCGCCGAGCAGATCCAGAGGCTTGGGGGGTGGATGCTCTGTCTCTACCCTGGCACAACATCAAGTTGTATGTTTTTTCCTCCAGTGTGTCTACTAGCGCGCATTCTGGTAAAAATCAAAAGGGAACAGGCTGAGGCGTTGGTTATCGCCCTGTTTTTGGCCCTTCCAGGCATGGTTTCCGCTCCTCCGGGAGCTAGCAGTAGCAGACCCTTTCTTCTTCCCAGTGGAGAAGTCAGTACTGAGTCTACCAGGTCAAGGGGACCGTCATCCCCTGTGGAGATGCCTCCGCTTAGCCGCTTGGCTTGTGTCAGGCAGGCCTTGACGGGTGCAGGTTTGTCTGCGGATGCTGCGGAGTTGGCGTTTGCCGCCACTAGGGCATCGACCAATAAACAATATCAGAGTGCCTGAAAAATTTTCGTCTCCTGGTGTAGAGACAGGAGTTTGGACCCCTTATCTGCACAAGTGCCCAAAGTGGTTAACTTTCTGCATGATTTATTCCGGAAAGGTTTGGCCTATAAATCAATAAACATTTATAGGTCTGCAATATCCTCAACCAGAGAGGCGGTTGACGGTGTTAAAATAGGACAACATTGGATGGTTTGTCGCTTTATGGCAGGTGTCTTCAATAGACGTCCCCCACGTCCCAGGTACTTGGTGACATGGGATGTTAACAAGGTGTTGACATACCTTGAGAGCTTCGCTCCCTCACGGTCTCTAGCCATCAGGGATTTGACCCTGAAAGTTACCGCCTTGATGGCGCTAACCTGTACTGATAGGTGTGGTACACTAGCCACACTGTCTACTGAGTTGATGAATATTTTTCATCTTCCAAAGTAACTTTTGTTCCCCCTCAGTTAACAAAAACTGATCGGCCAGCCCGACCTTTTCGGGAAATTGTCTTCAGGGCTTACCCTGAAAAGAAGAGTCTGTGTGTTGTAGACTGTATTCAGGCCTACCTTAACAGGACACAATATGTTAATCGGCCCAAGGAGTTCTTTCTGTCCTTTAGGACTGAAAAAGCTGTAGGATCAGCCACCCTTGGTAGGTGGTTGAAGTTGGTAATGAAGGAGGCTGGTATAGACACAAGTATCTTTAAGCCTCATTCTCACAGAGGTGCTGACACCTCTGCTGCCCTTGGTAAGGGAATGCTTTAACAGAGGTCATCCGCTCAGCAGATTGGTCCTCTGCAGTAACCTTTGAAACGTTTTATCATCGTCCAGTAGAGGACTCTGATATTGCTAGGGCAATACTATCCTCCATGGGACGGTAGTATGGCTCTGAAGGAGAATACCCCAAATTGTTTTTCCTGTGCTGTAAAGTTGGCGGACCTGGACTTGTGCCAGGGGACCGGAATCTATGCCTTTGGTGTATTGGGGAAGCAGGGATTCCTGTAGTGTCAACTCCAGGATCTTTTCCCTATTAGGTGAGACTTTACTACCTCATCTCACATCTTTAAAGTCGCCATATATTCTGGAGATGCGATGGATAATTGATAGTTATCTACTTACCTTTCAGATAACTACAGTTATCCGAGCATCGTAAGAATATATGTCCCACCCCAGTTCTTTCCCATCCCAGTGTTCGCTGAGGTTAACCTTAGCTCGCTACACATGAGAGAGAACGAAACCGAGGCTGAATGGGGCATTCTGGGTATTCTTTCTTCTAATCTTGACTGTAAAGTGCTGCCGCCTAGCGTCCTAAATGAGAACGCCATATATTCTTACGATGCTCGGATAACTGTAGTTATCTGAAAGGTAAGTAGATAACTATCAATTCTGGCAGAACAGGCGGTAGTGGACAGGCGTCGTCACATCACCAGTCTCCTTGTGGAAGCTGTTTTCCTCTGTCAGTATTTGTCTAACTCTCTCAAGTTATCTCAGAATGGCACCCAAGCGCGCAGCTGTGGATTCTGAGCCGGGGACATCGGCCAAGGGTAGGTGAAAAGCTCCGAAAAATGACTCAGGAAGCTTCCGGGTTCTTGTGCCTGACCTTGCTACCGTAGACGGTAGAGTCCCCGCCCCCATGCAGTAAATCCAAAGTCGTACGTGTAATATATTATAACGTTGTATTTGATAATCGTTAGCTCTGTAGCAATATCGATACTAGTACTTACTGAAGGTCTAAAGAAACTCAGAAGTTTGAGGGAAATAAATTATTTGCCTTTTTTTTCGTGATCACGACCTTCCTTTGATTGAATTATTCATGTGGAATGTCAAAAACATAACTTGTACTTTTCATTCTGAGGAAAACGTTGAACCAGGTCCGTTGATGAAAGTTAGACATCCAGGTAAACGATACTCGTATTAAAATAAAGAAAATTCAAACTCTACTACTGGATCAGTTAACGGATTTATTTCCGGACGTTTCGAGTGACATCCATCACTCTTCTTCAGCGTCACAAATGAACAGAGAACCGATTCACTCTTATATACAAGTAACTAGAAAAACCGGTTAAACAACAAGGTCCGTAAGAAGCTTTATCGTGTAAAAAAACAGGTCGGTTGTTTTGCCGCCAAAATCGAGAAAACCGAGAGTGCTTTTCTGTAATTATATACTATAACAATAGCTAATATAAACCAGATGTAGACTTGAAACTGAATACACCATGGTCTGTCTAGTATGTAAAAACGAGGTGCGAATTGGCTAGTCTGTGTTATTTGTATGCTATTGTGTTCTACTGTCTGGCGGAAGTTTGTTTCATATGGAAAGTTTGATCATCAGTTGGAGGTATGGAGATACACCGACTTTTGTCTGGTGTAAAACAAAGGTGCTTTCAGAAGGCTGAAGTGTGAAATAACCTACTTATGTGTGATACCCTGTCATCTGGTGTGTGCTGTATGTCCATTGTTTGTTCCCCTACTGTCTGGTGGACGTTTGTTATGGAAAGTTCGAAGTGTGAATCAGAAGAGAGAACCCGAAATTTTCCCGTGCACCTGAACCAAAACATGGGATGATAGCAATAGAAAAATGGAATGGGATGCAATGATTACAATCCTAATTAGTTCAATGTCTGCAACAAAAATAATAACTGTTTTACAAGTACTGTGAAGTAGAGTCTGATCAACTTCTACAAATATCACAACGGTTCGCTGATCATTAATTGCTGCTCCAAACCCACCCCTAGTCGTTCCAAGCCGACAAGACTCAACCATCCTGCAGCATATCAACTGCCCAGGTGTAGGGCACAGTACAGAGAGAGGTCTTTCTTTCCACGTACAATCAGAGAATGGAACAGCCTGCCGGCTCACATTGCTCTTAGTAGCAACTTAGAGGACTTCAAGTCCAACCTGTAATCCCTCACGTGAAATCCCCATTTCCTTAGCACATTACCCCCCCCCCTTGCGCAGTTAACCCAATAACGACATAATCTTCGACATGACGAAGGAGGTCGTTTAAGGAAAGAAGAGTCACGTAATTCAATGATTAATAAATGCAATAAAATTTCTTTTTGTTTCCACCTTCAGCACCGGCCAAGCCAAAAGCCAAGAGGAAGAAGCCCAGTCCTCCCAAGGCTCCAAAGTGTGGCTGTAGGGGAGACTGTGGGTCAAGGTGATTATTATTAGTACCTCCTGGCATTTGTATACTATTATATATCTATGTCAATGGAATTTCAAACTGTTATACAGACATACAGACTTTCTTAGGTACACAATGATTTTTTGCCCCACAGTTTTCGGATGATACGATAATATATTTATCATGATATACTAGGTGACATGTCTTGTACATGAAACGTTACATGTCATGGTCTGATTATGGAAAGCACAAAATGTAACGTTAATGTTCATAATCTCAGTCCTGATCATCATGATTCTCAATTGTAATGTGTTATCAGATTGGTACTACATTTAGTAATTGCCAGATGAAATGAGCTGTGCTGCCTTATTCTTTAAAAAGAGATAATTTATTCCTTCCCTATTGATTTGTTACAGCAAGTGTGGCTGTGGAAAGAAGGGGGAGGCCTGTGGTGATGCGTGTAAGTGTACCAGCTGCAGAAACCCCTTCAACATCCTCAAGGAGTATAACATTGACTGCACGGCAGCCGCCCAGGACAAATGTCTCATGGACAACATCTACAAGGTACAGCAGGAGTTACATATGTTCTGATAGTTCTGACAGCATGTAGAAACTCAATGTGTTCTTCTCTAATTTACTACTCTAATGTTGTTTTCCTATCTTTCCCAAAAATTCATCTTACACTATTTTCATACCCTTGTGTTATGCAGATTGGAGACCTTCGAAAGTACCTGGAGTCAAATCGTGAGCTGAATTGCTGTGGACAGTCTGTACAGGTCTGTTTAAATTTGTTTTATGTATACATGCCTGGTCTACCTGCTACAGTAAAGGAGGTGTGTGGTTTCATTATGAAGCCTCTTTTTACAATTACACATTGAGGACCTTGAATTCAACCGCTCCCAAAATGTTAATGTTAGCAATGACTAGGGAGCAGTTAGCCCACATCTAACCAAGAATTTGAGTTGAAATTTATACTTATAGCTTCAAGACAACTTCTATGACTATTAAGAGGTTTCATCCTCTTTTCTTCTGAGCAATCATTGTTCAACGTTAGTGTAGAAAAACCACCTGTGCCTTTTCTAAGTTGTACTTGTGTTTGCCGACCTCCAGCTGAAGGATAAGATGTTCCCTGGGGTCATCACCTGTCCTGAGGAGGACTGTTACGGGGAGTGGAGGTACTCCTGGTGCTGGCATGAGTTTGTTGATGAGGAGAACCGCCCACGTAACCACTGTGGCACCTGCCGCAAGTGTGGCGACTACAGGGACGCTCATTGTGAGGTAACCAAGTTTAGTCTACCTATGTTCCTTGCTCTACCAAGGAGTTAACCTCCTTGGCTCTACAGTGTAAATATGATAATTCCTGATTTAGTTCTTGTCTTCTATACTTCTCATTTTCGCTTCTCATGTCCACAATCTTTGTATATGGAAGACTTGAGATAACGGTTTCATGTGTATGGATAACAGCATAAGTGTCCATCATGCATTGTTACTGCTGTGTGCTTGGCTGTTGAAAAGATGACCAATGCAGCTATTGTTATCATCCCTGCTTTGAATAGACCTAACCAACCAGTCATCTCTGTTCTCCCAACAGAAATGCAACAAGTGCTACTTTGCTGGCCTGTCCGGTTTTGAGTGCCCCTGCAAGGATCGGCCCCCAAAGGGAAGCATGAACTCGCTGGGCCTGATGCTGTGGGCCATGCAGCAGTTTGCTGGGGATGACAGCGACAGACTCAGTGACGAGTCTGAAGACGAAGGGTTCTTCTAAAACTCGAAAGCTCTCTAAGATCAAAGAACTGTGTGAACATCACTGCTGAGACTGTTCTCTCGAGTTATTGCATAGAGAAAAGCCTTTTAGGTACATTTTGCCACCGATGTATCAGTTTATAACCTGCCACATGTTCTATCCTGAAAAGTTGCTGATGTGCCAATGTTGTACTGTGTTGCATGATTGGCCAACAGTGCCCTATGACTAGTAGTTTTAGTTTTTAGATACATGTATGACATGTAAAAGTTTTACTGCAACTTCCAAAACTGGAAGAAGCCATTTTCTTTTTGCTTTTTTTCCAGTTATTGGTTTCAGTTTATGATTTTATATACTCAAACATTATAAAGGATTAACTAACAGCCTCCCAAAGTTCTGGTTGAATAGTATAGGTCTAAGCCATGTGGTAAGTTTTGTTCAGTTAGGCCATGTTGATTTGATTATATGGATGACATCCTCCGGGAACCCCAAAACTGATGCGCGCGTGCGAATAAAAAAAAAGTTTTGCAAAAAAAAAGTTCTTTTCATTATGAAATCTACGTGGTCATGAGGGTTGAGCAAATGGCACAGAATATGGTTTGGCGAATAATCTAGTCTTAAAGTTCATTTCTTTACAATTTTGCCTTTTTTCGTTTGATTTTGGCATTCTACGACATTGGTATAGTTTTTAATAATTTTTTTTGTAACTTATGGTATATTTTTGCTCATTTTGCAACTGTTTTGTACGATTTACAGTATGGTTGGAAACTTTTTTTTTTTTGGAAACAGACGAAAATTCATGCGCGCGCGGATGTCATCCATATAATCAAATCAACATGGCCTTAACTAAAACTAGTATATTTGTGCTTGTTCAACTTTGGGAAAGATTGCTTGTTCATGTCCTGAACACCAGGATCTATTGAGAACATTCATGTTCATAGCAAAAGGATTTGCTTTATAAATCGTTGTAAGACTCATATTTAAGACACAGAGGCAAGTTTTTATTAACTCTAGTTTATTGGTTTGTTTCACGTTTGAAAAGTTGTGCTAAAACAAGTTTACAGGGTATGTACCATACTTGTGGCATGTACGGTATAACAGGTCAGTTCAAAAGGAATCTGTTCTAACATAAATCAGATATTTTTGTTTTTCATCCAAGAGTTGTACAGTACTACACAATCCTACATTCATGTTTATATCATATGACATTAAAATGTCATGGCCTACACTACAATATTCCTAGTCTTGTCATGTTTTGTTTACAAACAATTTGTTTTAGCTTCAATTCTGAAATGTTTTTTTTTTTTAATCCAGTGCTTACTGGGCAATCACCCCAGATTGAATAGACAATGATATTGCATGGGTGATATAAGTAATACATGTAGTAGGTATCTTGATGGAAGATACTTATTACATTTGCTGTACATGTACTTGGTACATGTAGTAGTGTGCCTCCCATTTAAAGGACAGTCCTCTAACCTGACTGGTTGCTGAGGTGGTGGTATGAGCTGGTGCACTACATTTCCCTTAGAATACTAAGTAACATCTTATTTCTGCCCCAGCACATACTGATTTACCATAAATAAGGATTCATAGTTACAATACAGCAGTACAATACAATACAAGGTTTGAATTGTCAGGAATGCATTCTTCTTTCTTGGGTCAATGAAAATTAGGTACATTATTTTACTTCTAAGAATCCATCTAGTTTAACATCAAACATACTACCTGGGTTGTTGAACATCACTAAACAGAATGATGAAATTAGTCTGGAGTCCAGCCTTTTAGCTTTGGTCTACTCAATTACTAGTATCCCAGGACCAAAGCTAACAAGGCTGGACTCCAGGCTATGATGAAATCACTATTAGTATTACAAGTACCATTTGACAGCAAGACAACCAATCAGATGAGAGAAGTGAGCCTTTAAAGCTCATCTAGTCATCTCTTCCCCCCTGCTGAAGTTTCTGTAGGTTTGATGAAAACTCCCTCCATCACTCTCCAGAAGTTTCCGCTGTCAGGCTTGGGGTAGGCGCAGACCTCCCTCTGTCCATGGATGGGCCGGCCGTAGGTGTCCCCGGTGATGTGGAGGTACATATCTGTGGCCGTGTGCTTGAACCTGACGGTGTCGTCCCGCTCCCAGTACGTCCCGCTGCAGGTCACCGCCCAGTAGTCACCGCTGTCACCGACGCCATCAGTGCCAAACGCGCTCACCTGATGAAAAAAGAGTTTGATTTATTCATTGAATTCAACAGAATTAAATTATCTCTGAAACTGTATGTAGGTAAACACTGAATACCAGACTCTGCTCTATGTTGATCTTGCAGTGCAGCATACTGTATTTTTTCTTTATTATGTAGTTTTCACATTCACATGGTGACCAGCCCCTCCAAATCAAATGCTGCCCTGCCACTTGCTACATAATGTAATCCAACACCGCAGGGTGTCTGTGATCTGCTACAGTACTAGTAAACAGTTGTCTGGTCCATGTTTGTGTTCTTCTTCTCCAAGTAAGGTCAATGATGGTCATTGACCTTTGGAGAAGAAGAAGAGCAAAAACAATATACATTTGTAATAACTAGACTGATAGATGAATACTAATTGACAAGGACGTTAAAAAGCCTGTACCTCCTGGTTGCGAGAGAGAGGTGACTGGAAGTAGTGGCTGTGCAGGTTACGGCGTGTGGTGGTGTGCATGAGCCGGATGGTCTGCCCACATTTGATGGGCGTTCCCCTCACACACGGCTTGTCTGCCTTCCCCTTCACCGCCCAATAGCTGTTGGTATCATCTGTGCAATCACAAAGGCCACAACATAAATTAAGATGTAACATGTAATGTAATAACAAAATTTACAGGAGATATACTATGTTACAGTGTGTCAACTATACAAATTACATGTACTTGTTGTAATGTTCACTTTATAGTTTGGGCACCCATATATAACATCCACTCTGGAATTTTTCTAACGAATACACCTTTAACTAAATATGGAGGCAGCAGCCAATAAAAATTCCATATGGTTGATGATTAACCTGAAACTGAAGGATCCTTGCATGTAAAGGAAGACAACCATATGGGCAGCATACCTGCAACTACCCTATGTTAAACACAGACATTCGATTGATTTTTAAAACGACGTGAAGCCATAAAAATATATGCATAAATTTAAGGGCACTGAACTGCACTGTTCCTGAAAATTTATTCTATAACTCAAAGTTGTCCTCTTTTTGATTGGGGAAATATGTAAGGGATTTTGAAAATGCCCTTTTTTCGACTAGGGGGAAATAAAAAGGATTTTGAAAATATCATTAAGAACACATCGCAGTCTCCAGACTAAAAGCCAGTGATTATGTAACATTTACCTGAGGAGTCGACAGCTGTGACAGACTGCTGTCCACTTCCTGATCCGTACTTCACGTCGTGTGAGTGGAGTCTCACGTTGTTCCTGGTGTTCAAAAGCTTCACCACCGAGCCACACGTCACGTACGGATATTCAAAATCCTCGCACAGACCAAAAGACAGGAGTAAACAGAAGAAAAACGGGAAAATTTGACAGAAAACGACAGTTTTGCTACAGCTTTGGGCCGCCATGGTTGATTCTGAACGTGGGGAGCTCTGATTGGTCAGAAACGCCGGGAGGTGAAAGGTTAACTGAGGGGTTATTACAGGTCATGAGTCTGGGAAAATGGCGGATTTTCTGGGGATGAAATTTTCAGCAATGATTATCTTCAAGTTTCACCGCGTTTTTACCTAAACATCTTCACAATGTTCCCACAGGTAAGTGTAAGGGAAACTCTGGGTCTATTTGTGAGCATCTACGGGGTCATGTGACGGTGCATTCTTGGAAATAAACGTGCAATTTCTGTTTAATTTTTCAGCCTATGCTGACAAAAAGAGCTTTGTTTCTTCCTCGTTTAGATCCTAGATCTAGAGCAGAACACAGGAACGTTTTTACCTTGCGAGTTGTATCGTGGGTTCTGTCACGAAAGGACAAGATAGTAGAATAATGGGAAGCATAATTATCCTTGCTTTATCATTATAACGTTATATGATCTAACATAATGTTAGATGTTTACCAAAGATGCAAAGGAAAGATTTTTATATTATTTTGCGTTGGGGAAGGTTAGACATCCATGATCTTGTAATTTTCATGAGCTAGTTGCATTCAAATAGACTATTTGTTGTAATGTGCATCAGTCCTGAGTCATATCATAAAAAAGCACTTGCTAATTTTCTTTGTTTCTTCAGGGTCCAGGTCAGGGGGGCCAACCTCCTCCCTTCAGATACCCCCCAGTGCCCCCGGGTATGTTCCCACCTGCCCAGGGACAGGGTCCGAGGCCAGGTCCCCCCAGAGGCCTCCCTCCACGGTCAGGGCCACCCCAGGACCATCACGGGTCATTCTTACTGCCCCAGCAGGGGCCGTTTGGTGGCCCGCGGCCGGGTGCGCCCTGGGGACAGGCGCCTGGCATGCACACGGGCCCACCTCAAGGCCGGTCAGTCATCAGACCCCCTCAGTTTAGCCCGACACAGCCGCGGCCTGATTTCGGGGCACCCCATCCAGGATTTCCACCTCCCAGGGGACCAGTTCATCAACACAGGCCACCAATGAGGGGGCCTCCACCCAATCAGGGGCCAATGTTGAGAGGACCTCCACCCAATCAGAGTACTGGATTCAGACCGCCGCCACCCAATCAGGGCCAACCATTAAGAGGACCCCCACCCAATCAGGGCCCACTATTGAGAGGACCACCGCCCAATCAGGGCCCACCGTTAAAAGGACCACCAACCAATCAGGGTCCTCCATTCAGAGGCCCGCCGCCCAATGAGGGACCTCGTATGAGAAGCCCCCATCCTCCACAACAAAGACAACCTTCTCCATTTGGTTTTCCTGCTTCTCCATTTCCAGGACAGTCTCCTAGTCAACCTCTAACACCGCCCACCAGTGGGCCTCGTCCTATTCCTCCAGCTAAGGCATGGGGCGGTGGGAATACAGCTGATACAGGGTGGGGGACACCCCCTAAAGGAGGGGTATCATGGGAAGGGCTGCCCAAATCTTGGGGGGATGATTCAAAACCAGAGAGAACTGAAGCATCGTGGGATGTTGATGAACCTGGAACAAGCAAAACGTCACTGGGTTGGGGTGAGACAGGACCAAGCAAACCCTCTGTGGAGACAGATCAGCCTGGACCAAGTAAAGCATCATGGGGCACGGAAGAGCCTGGACCAAGCAAAGCATCATGGGGGATGGAAGAGCCTGCACCAAGCAAGGCATCATGGGGGATGGACAAGCCTGGACCAAAGAAAGCCTCATGGGAAATGGACTCACCTAGTGCATCGTGGGGGACAGAAACATCCAGTACAAGCAGATGGGATGAGGGGGGTTGGGGCGACCCCAAGGGAGCTGGGAAGTCATCACAGACTGGGAGGAAACGGATTTCCTCTGCAGCATCTGATGAGCGAAGGCAGAGTGAGCGGGGTGAGAAGAGGCGGCGGGATTACAGGTGTGTTTGTTGTTCCTTTGGTAGACAAGTTGAAACAACGTCCTTCACAACCATACCCATGAATACTTGTAGCTGTAATGCACATTTTCAGCAATATACATGCACATCTATGACTTCGTCCCGACTACGTGTACCGGGTATATTGTAAATCATTGTTAATCAGATCTCCGATTCAAATATTGCAGTGCGATCGCTGATGATCGGTAGTGAATAAATTCATGGACAGTCTTCCATGTTTTAATGGGGAATCATACAAACAAATGTAAAGTAACTCCACATAATTCAGCCTGTCAGCTGCGATATGGAAGATACTGCTTAGTTGTTGTGTTAGAAATTGAATGAACCATCATTATCATAAACTTCCAGAGATGACGACTGGGGCCAGTGGGATCCTGAGTCAGTAGACGTGCCCACTCCTACTGACACAGCCACCAAGGAGGGGAGCAGTAGTGAGAGGGACAGGGACAGGGAGAGGAGACCCAGCACCAGTAAGGGGTGGGACAGTCATCCTAAGGAGACTTCCAGAAGGAAGGAGCATTCAAGGTCCCCTCCCAGGTAGTCGCCTCTACAGTCCACAGCTTAGTTTTTAAACAGCCTTTATTTTGATGTGATTTAATATATATCTTAAATGGATTTGAGATATTGATTTATTTGTGTCACACTTAACCTTCTTTCTGCTTTCCTGCTACCTAATTAAACACTTAGTACAAATGACCAAGCAATGCAAATTTGGTGCTGAACAGCTATTTAGCTGGCTGAAAGTTAGAATGTAACATACTAGTACAGCCAATTTTGTACAGAACGTAGACGTAGGAGCTGTATAAGACTGCCTGGGCTGATACATTTAGTTTCTATCCACTCACGGTGGTGCTGGTGCATACCCCTAGTGTTATCGATAAGTATGTCTTTAACACGTAGAAAGTGTGGCTGTCAAATGTTTCCAATTGTTGTGTTATTGAGCCCTAACCTTTATTTCACTTGCAGGCATTCCAGATCCAGCTCCCCTTCTCCCAAGCGGTCCCGGTGGGAGCACATCGACAAGGAGGTTGTGAAGGAGAAGGAGAAGCCCATCTGGGAGTGGCTGAGTGGGGGGTCGGAGCAGGACAAGGGGGAGGACGATAAGACCAAGAACCCCCCCTGGGTCAGATGCTCCCCGGGAGACACCTATTATGACAACTGTGCCTCTCAGCAATTCGTAAGTTGGCTCGAAATTACAATTATTATGTGTGGAATGAGTTTTAATCAACTTTGACCCTTACATACATGTAGGACTGGTAGATGTGCAGGTATAGAGTGAGGTTTTTATGTATAGAGTGATGTGTTTTTTTATACAGTATCTTTTTATGTTGACCGAAGGAAAACATTGTTTTTGCTCTGTTTTCTCTTCTTCTCCAAACCAATAAAAAAAAAGAACAAGGTCAATGACCTGAACCAGATGGCTGCCACCATGGTAACTAGTGTTGGGTTACATCATGTTGCGATTATTTACCAAATATCTGTAGGAATTCATTGCTAAAGATTATAGTGATACTGATACTCTGTTAAAGAGGTACACTTGGGTAAATATTCCTCACTTCTCTCCCAGAATGGCTCGAGTGTTGTGGCCACAGACAAGCTGAAGGCCCTGTACAAACAGTTTGAGGAGGTGCTGGGCCTGCGGCAGACCGGGGCCATGGACGCCAAGCCCCCGCGGGAAGAACCTCCCGAGCCCGAGCCGCCGCCCGAGGACTCTGGTATGACAAGCGGCAGTTTCTCCTCACATATGCATTAGGTAAATGGCTGTACCGATGAGTCGTGGTGTCACCACACATCCCATACAATCTGCCAGCCTCCCTACATCAGTTATCCATGCTATCTTACAACCTTACAATTCAACTGTATCATTCTCAAACTTGCAAACAAGGGAAGGAGTAGATAATGTGCTACAACACTGTTGTCCATCAGATTCTGTTATTGGTTCAGTGTGAAATGTGAAAAGTCTCCATTTGATGTGAAGTGAGTGTACAATCAGTATGATCAATGTGGAGTTTGTTATGGCAAGCATATCAAAGTTGTGCTGTATGTGGTAAGTGAAGTCTTCCTTTGTTTTATCAGCACATGGCAGAATGCATTGTGCACAGCACTTCTATGTAACATAGCACTTATTGACTTAAGGTCATGCTTGTGTATTTAAAGATGATATCCTGTCTGTATTGTATTTGTATTTTTTGGCAATGGTACATGTCGTTACAAGTTCAGCACAGGCAGACTCAGCTGGTAATCGTTATAGTAATGTTTAGTTTGGAAAAGGTATCATATACAACAGATGCAATGGTCATGCAATATTGACCAAACTTAAAACAGAAACCATAGTTTCGTGCAGGCACAGTACGTTCTGCCGACGTGCTTGTGTTACCGACATTATGTGCTATGCTATAAATACTATAAACAGTCCATGACTATGGGTTTAAAGTGATTTCCCTCTGTTGTTTTCCAGAGTCCGAGGAGACCAGTTCCTCCAGCAGCAGTGAGGAAAGTGAGACGGAGGACACAGAAAATGAAGAAGAGGCAGAAAACATCATGGAGGAGCTGCGTAAGAAGAAGGCTCACCCCGACAGACTTCACGAGGAGCTGTGGTACAACGATCCCGGAGAGGTTTGTTTAAAGTTGTGTTTGATCAAACACAACAAAGTTTTCTGAGAATCTTCAACCACCATGTGGAGTTCATATTTTTCCTGCTTTATCACTAAGAAATTCTTCAGCAAAGTTAATCACGTCATGCTGCAAGTTTTAATACAATGTTTTTGTGGTTTTTTGGTCTTTTTGCAGATGAATGATGGCCCCCTGTGCCGGTGCAGTTTAAAGTCCAGGCGGACAGGCATCCGCCACAACATCTACCCTGGAGAAGAGGTGAACTTTTTCATCTAATCTTCCACCTTTTCTGTTTTTTTTTCTTTTGTATCAGGAGAAAAGTTGTTGGAAAGTTGTACACATGACATTAGCATAGCATGGAGAGATTTTGCATATTCTTAGTTTCACTTTGCTTTTTCTGTTCCAGCTGATCCCCAAATGTGACCCCTACACCAACAATGCCAACAGACTGCACCATTACAGGATCACCATGTCACCCTTTACCAACTTCCTGGTGAGTTGCACTTAACTAACATGAAAGATAATTCTTGGTAGAGACAGTTTGAGTCTTTATAGTAGTAGTAACCACTCTTCCCCCCTCCCCCACTCTTACCCTTCCTCAACCCTTCCCCCTACCCCACTCATGGTCTTCATCAACTCTTCCCCCTTTCCCAGTTTGCCCGAAATGCTGTCTTTCACAGGCAGAGCATCAAAGGCCTTTCTTGCTTGTTCATAAGGCCACATGGCCAAAGGCTACCTGAAAACCAATTCCTCAGGGAATGCATTCTTGCAGTTTTTGAAATTCTTTTAAAGCGATCATAGTAATGTAAAAAGATGCCTCCGCCTCAGAGGCGCTGCTAAAAATGCAGAGAATAAATATGTGATGGCTTTGCTAATGATGTTGATTCCTGTTTCACAGACAGACCGTCCCACAGTGATCCAGTATGACGACCATGAGTACATCTTTGAGGGATTCTCCATGTTGTCTCACCACAAACTGCAGAATGTGAGGGCTCGTTTTCAATATGCCAACATGTTACAAACCTGATTACTAGCATCAAGTGAAAAACAACAAGAGCAGAATTATTTTAGGATACATGTATATTATATCAGTATGTCAAAACAAAGTAAGTTCATTGACAAGTTGTTGACTTTATTTCTTTTGCAGATACCTGACTGTAAACTCATCCGATTCAATATTGAGTACACCATCCATCTGATTGAAGAAAAGATGCCAGAGGTGAGTATGAAGAGTCTTCACTCCTAACCAGACTATAATTCGTTGTGTACTTTTTCATTGTCAACTCAATTGTTCATCTGTAAGCAGAGTCTCAAACTCTATTACATAAAAAAGAAAACTATTTGGCTTATGGTATATGTATGAACCAAGAACCTACAGGCAATGTCAATGCTTACACACATACACTACATTGTCAGGAATGCCAGTTTTGTTTTGTGTTGTTTGTTGCAGAACTTCTGTGTGCATGGACTGGACATGTTTGCAGACTTCTTGTTTAATGACATCCTGGAGCTGGTAGACTGGGACAGATGGGGTAAGTAGCCATAGGTTAGAGATTGAAGCATTGATGAACATTATTGAACTGTACTAGCTGACTTCATAGTTCTAAACCTGCCAAAGAAGAACACCCAGGGGACCAAGGTCTTCTTGGACAAGTGTCTTTCTTGAGCAGGAAAAAAAATTCAGGAAGGGAAAAGGTAGTTGTTATGGCCTGGTGGCTTACTTGCTTTAAGAGGTGGCTACTTGGGCAAGTTTGACTGTGGCTTAATCATTAATAGATTTCCTGATCTCCCTCCCACAGGTCCATCCAGAGTAGATGGGAAGAAGAAGGGCTGCTGCAGGTTCCACTTCATGCCCCGCTTTGTCAGAAACTTGCCAGGTTAGCATCATTCATTCTACCGTTTTAACCAACTGCTTGTACATGTATATATATATATATATATATATATCTCACCTAGAGCTTTCGACAGTCACTCAGGTCTTCCTCAGCAGACTGACCCAGAGGGACTTGTCACATGGCTTCTTTGAAGTGTGACGTCAACACTGGGTCAGGTATCTGGCAGACAATGTCAGCCGCTGTCGTGGTTGAGTGATGTGATGTGATGTCATGTCATGTGAATTTTGGAGGTCTCGATGATGATAGATCTGTGTACTTATCTATTTCTTTCTTCTGTACAGAGAATGGTAAAGAAGTGCTGGCCATGCACCAGGTCCTGCAGTACCTGCAGAGGAGTAACCGGCCGCTGGTGGAGGCGTCGGAGCTGGCCCTGCTGCTGCAGCTGGAGGAGTACGAGTGGCAGAGGTTTGCTGAACAAACCAAGAACATGATCGTCACCCATCCTGGAATGGTACGTCCCAGCAGAAAATACACATCGTACATACCTTACTCTGTCAATGTTCTTATTCTTCTTGGAACCTCTACATCATACAGGTCTACATTCCTATCAGTAGTCACCTGGATGTCAACGTTCATCGACTCACAGAATTTATGTCAGCTTGTGTACTTGCCTTTTATAAAAGAGGTATTTTCTGGCTTTACCTTAGTCAGTGGAAGCCTGTTATTTTCTTGTACATATGTACCAACATTAAATGTAGCTGTATCCCCTGTTTCTGTTACAGAAGCCCTGTTCAGTTCGTGTGGACCAGTTGGACAGAGAGCAGCTGAACCCAGATGTCATCAGTTATCCTGTCATTGTACACTTTGGCATCAGACCTGCACAGCTCAGCTATGCTGGAGACCCCAAGTAAGTCAATCATCAGGAGAGCATGTCGGCAGAATGTACTGTACCTGTGTGAAACCTGTAATGCATTGTGTATAGCATTTTGGCTGAGCGTCATCAAAACCTTCAGTTTAAGTGGCAGTGATTGAATTGATTGTTGACTTATGACTGATTGTTGAATTGATTGTTGTCTTATTTCAGATACCAAAAGTTGTGGAAGTCATACTTGAGATTACGACATCTTCTTGCAAACAGGTACCTTTTCTCAAGTTACAATGTGGCGTGGCATTTTGTGTGGCGTCTGTGTGGTGTAGTGGATAGAGCGTCCGACTGTCAAGCAAGAAGACCCAGGTTCAATCCCCAGGGTTGGACCCAGACATGTCTGGACATACACCAAGACGTTGTGCCCTCAGGCATTTCCCCCCTCAGTTAGAGGGTTTCCTGTGCCCTACTGTTTGGATTGGCATTAGGAAGAGCATCCAGCCGTAAAAATCTTCAAAAAGGACTTGTACCTGGTGCAAGCACTTCTAACCCCCGGTTGGGTAAAAATGACGTTAAATTCGGTTTAAAAAAACAACAACAAAAAATGTACTTTGAATTGACCTCTGACCACATGCCAGAATAATCGTCTCAACGACTGTGGGCATCGGACGGAAGAAGGAAGAGGAAGAATTCTGTTTATAATGGCAGTTTAGAATACTTTTGTTGTTTGTTCATAGTGACCTGCTAAGTTCTATTCCCTTTTCAGCCCAAAAGTCCGGCCCCAGGACAGACAAAAACTCTTCATTCGAGAGGTTTGTTGTGTTATTTAAAACTTTCTAGCAGATAGATAGTTGCTGCAGTGCAAAATGCAAAGAAAATTATATAAATGAAGAAATAAACCTTTGCTAGCATAGTACCTAGTCTGACCCATTGTTCTGGATGAAATTGAAGAAAGATATGTATGCAGTATGTTTAATAATTAATTGTGTCTACTACAAGCTCAATAAATATATATCTTTATTTCCGGTAAATTGTGTCTCATCCAGATTTACTTCTGTCATCAGCATTTTGTATTTTTCATTTCTTTCAGACTGAATTACAAAAGATTCGGTCTAAAAGGTGAGCATGTTTAACATTGTTTCATTTGAATTCTTGGACAATACAATTTTGCTTTATTTTTTGTGTCCAAAATTGTAGAAACTTAACATATGTCTTGTCTCCTTCCCCTCAGTGAGATGAGAAGAGAAGTGACAGTTGAGCTGAGTAGTGAAGGGTTTGTCAGGACAGGAATCCGGTCGGACGTGTGCCAGGTAAGAAAACTTAACAACTTGTATACGCCATACGTCGGTTTTGATGCTCATCATTTAAACTTCCTTGACCGTTCAAGAATTTTGTATAGAAGGTGGAGAACCAATGATCAGAGTGTTATGAGTTTATTGTCTTTTTGATGTACAATTGGAAGCACAAGCCAAGGACTCACTACAATATGATCCTGTAGACAGCTCACACATCATGATGGTTTGACTACTGGTATCATTATTTCCTGTGTGTATTTCCCCAGCATGCCCTGCTGCTTCCTGTGCTGATGCACTACCTCCGGTACCACGCCTGTCTGAACGAGCTGGACCAGCTGTTGGGCTCCAAGTTTGAGGACAGATCCCTGTTAGAGGTGCTAAATATTACTTCTGCAGTCCTTTCTGGAGACAGATTGTGACATGATATTCAAGACAGTCACCATCTCTGAAATATAGCAAACAAACTTGTGTGTGCTAAATTGTAGATGATCTGCATGTACATCGTAGTATATAAGTACTGGATCTTTCAACATAATATTTTGTATTATTGAGACTAGTTTTGTGAATTTTAGAATGTCATTTGCACACTAATAGATGCAGCTGTTTCATGTTTACATCCATCTAGTCTGGTGTGCCTAAGATTTCATTCAATTACAATCACTTTTCTCCATAGCTTGCCCTGACTCATCCTTCTCACCATCTGAACTTCGGTATGAATCCTGACCATGCCCGAAACTCCCTGTCCAACTGTGGTATGAGACAGCCAAAGTACGGGGACAGAAGAATTCACCATGTACATACTCGCAAGAAGGGTAAGAGTTACTGAAAGTCAGTTTGTGGATAATGTGTAGAATTTTTTCTCCATGTACACATTGTTAGTGATAGCAACAAAGTTAATTACTAGTATACAACTACATTTTGTTGTCTTGTCACCTTACAATTTTTCTTTCTATTGATATCTATGCTTGAATGTCTAAAGTTAGACCTTTTGAATAGACAAAATACACAACCTGTAGCTTTTTTAATTTTCAATCATTTTTTCCTCACAGGTATCAACACACTGATCAACATCATGTCCAGAATGGGTCATGATGAGGAAACACCATCGCTGTAAGTCCATCTTGGATATCTGACCTTAAACAAGATATAAAACAAGAGTTATAGGTTTGGTTAATTTCCCCAGTGTTGCTTTACTGGTGCTGAATCACATCATCTTGACAGTGTTGTGAAATGACAAATGTATCATAAGAGCCTATGTAGTAATTTCATGCTACACATGTGCAAATGTATGAAGAAAACTAAAAATGAAACATTAGTGTAACTACATGTACATCCTCATATGTTTGTATCCAGTATCAACCACAATGAGAGATTGGAGTTTCTGGGTGATGCTGTAGTAGAGTTTCTCACCAGGTCAGTCTTATCTTGATATCAATTCCATTGTCATTTTTGTAGTATTCATAAAAAAAAGTTACTTTGGTATAGGTATTGGTAACTCCCTAAGATTCTAAGCCAATATTATGGAGGTTGGTGTCAACTATGGAAATGGGAGAAACTGATCATTCTTTGTCTTCCTGTCAGTTCCCATCTCTATTTTATGTTCCCTGACTTGGAGGAGGGAGGCCTGGCAACTTACAGGACAGCCATCGTCCAAAATCAACACTTGGCTGTTCTGGCAAAGGTAAGATCCTTTTTCATACACACCGTGTGATAAGACAAATTTGCTCTTCATAGTCTTGGAACAAATCAAAGCAAAATACAATTCAATGTTATAGTCACTACTCTAGTCCCTATTGATGTAGTTAAGCTAGTCACACTTTCTAAGAATTGTTCTGTAATGTAACAGTAAGAGACTTGGCTGAAAGCCACCAAAACATTTTTTAGGACTTAACATGATGTAAACTTTATACAATGTATTATGTCTGAAGTGAACCTTACCTCTTTCCTCATGACTGCAATGAAAAGTGGCCTGCAGGCTGATTTGAGCTTCTCATGTTCAAACAAACAAACATTTTAAAATTCATGGTTCATGTTTTATCCTTGTCCTATATCTTTCACAAAAGAGGTCTATATTTGTTTCCCTCCCCCCTGTAGAAGTTGCGTCTGGATGAGTTCATGCTGTACGCCCACGGGCCGGACCTGTGCCGTGAGTCAGACCTGCGCCACGCCATGGCCAACTGTCTGGAGGCCCTGATCGGAGCCATGTACATGCAGCAGGGCCTGGAGGAGACCAAGAAACTCTTCTGTAGACTGCTCTTCAGCGACGAGGTCAGCTCTATGACAGTCTATCATCACAAGTTACAATGTAGAACCAGCTTTTAGACTAGAGTAGTCATATGTTAAACTTACACATTCACGCTGGTGACTTTTGGGCACTAAGTCTTGCAATTTGGGGGGGGGGAGTTGACAATGTCTTATTTTTTTTATATCACTTCTTTCAGGACCTTCAAGATATCTGGTTGAACCATCCCACACATCCACTACAGGTAACTTTAAATTTTTACTTCATCGTGTCTGATACTTTGAGTTTTTGTCACTTCCTGTCTGTGTGATCTGACATAAAATTTTTCCTTGTTTTGCAGCAACAAGAGCCTGAAGGAGACCGTCATCTGATAGAATCATCACCAGTGCTAAAGGTTGGACAAGATTTTTTATATTTCCTCCTACATTACCCTATCAGCATGTTATGACTTAATGCTTCTTTCAGCCTGTTTCCCTATCTGTGCCCTTGTTGACACCACCTGATTGTTGACGATTTGCTGCATCACTATAAGCAATGCAAGTATAGTATAAGATAGTCTGTAAGTCTCTAAGACATGTGTTGTGTTTCAGCGGCTGACAGAGTTTGAGAGTCGGTGTGGGATGGAGTTCAAACATGTCCGTCTGCTGGCCCGAGCCTTCACACACAGGACTGTAGGCTTCAACAACCTCACTCTGTAAGTACATGTACATGTACATGTACAACTCACATTATAATGTACTGTGCTTAGGGTTATTCCAGTACAAAGTTTGAGGCTCAGATGTGAAGAAAGTGAGGAGAGAAGTTGTTGACGAGAGGGGCTAGGTGGCAATTTGTAAGTGAAAATAAAGTGAAGGCTGATTTGCTAGAGAATAGATTCATTACATGAGTTACTGTGTATGGATAAAATCTGCATTTAGATAGGGATCTTCAACATATTTATATTATGATTGAATGATTGTAAGCAAGATCTTTTATTGATTTGTGCAAGTACTGATAAAGTAATAAATGTTGGAACAGACACTGTAATAAAACCTCTGCTCATCAAAGGATCATTCATGAAGGAATGCTTTTTATTTTGTGAGACAAAAAGGAGAGTTTGTATTTTTTTTTGCCCACAGAGGCCACAACCAGCGTCTGGAGTTCCTGGGAGACTCTGTGATGCAGATGGTGTCATCAGAGTACCTGTACAAACACTTCCCTGATCATCACGAGGGTCATCTGTCTGTGAGTGCCTGTGTCCTTTATTGTGTAACTCTTTGAAATACAGTAATGATCCATCAAATGGAAGCTATAATGTTGTTAGTTTTGTTGTCATCTGCTTAATTCTGCTTCTTTGGGCCAAACAGTGTTTTGACTGTACACTAAGAATTTCCATGCCTAAGTTTTGCAGTTTGTATGCAGTTAACGTTTGATGTGATGAGCATCTTAATAGCCTTCACTACATAAACATGAAATATGATAAGAAAAAATTTCTTTTGGTTGCACAATTTCATCTATGATTGTATGATTCAGCTGCTGAGAAGTTCCCTGGTGAACAACAGGACCCAGGCGCTGGTGTCTCAGGACCTGGGCATGGAGGAGTACATCATCTCCAGCGACAAGGCACGGCAGGGCAAACTGTCTCTCCGACAGAAAACACTCGCTGATCTCATGGAAGGTGAGGATGGACAAGTTTGATCTGTATATAGATTTATTAGGACTTTGAACTTTTATCTTTTTGATATATTTTGTCTGACCTTGACATCTTTCATCATGGCCTCAATGAAAAGCAGCTTGCAGGCTGATTTGAGTGTCTCATGAATGAAGAGTGGTTCAAAGAAACAAACAAAATCTAGCATTTAAAAAACAGAGATTTCAGACTTCCCAGGAAGTATTGAAGGGTCCCTTGTGCGATCCTCAGCTTTCTGAATTTGACTGCTGACTCCCAGTAAAAGCCATTTCCTGTGTCTGACCTTTTGATGTAATTTAGCTAGTAGTGTCACCAGAAATTGTCTTGGCTGTAAAACAGATGGCATGGTTGTACATTGTATGTCAGTCATGTTAACTCTTAACTCTTGTTCCATTCTAGCCTTTATGGGTGCTCTGTATGTGGACCAGGGTCTGGAGTATGTGTGTGTCTTCATGAATGTCTGCTTCTTCCCAAGGCTAAGGGTGAGTAATACTTGTCACAAGACTCTAAGGATCTGAAAATGATTGTCATTAGCCATAAAACTTAAAAGGCTCTGAATTGAAAGTTTTATCCAATCATATTACTTGTTACAAAGTTTGAACCTATCATATCTGCCAAAACTTTTGAGCCAACCAATGAAAAAACAGTGTCTGAACCAATCACGTCTGGATTGACATTTGAACTGACCAATGGCACGACCTGTTTCAGCAGGAGTTCATCATGAACCAGGAGTGGAATGACCCCAAGTCCCAGCTTCAGCAGTGCTGCCTGACCTTGAGGACAGAGGGCAAGGAGCCGGACATCCCCTTCTACAAGTCAGTGTTCCTTTCCACCAGTTTTATGCACTGCTGCCAGGATGGTCATCCTTGGCTATGTTTTATTAAGGAAATGTGTAATGTGAAATGACTGAAACATGGGTTGTTTGTAGACCATATGCAAAGATTTCAATCCTAAGAATAGACAATTCCTTTATAAATTATGATTATACTATTCATTTTGTTTTTTTTTTGTTCATATCTACATAGTATTTGAAAATATTAATCAAATCCTTTTTCAAAACTGCCAGATGATTTTCGACATGCTTAGATTGCAAAACATTTTACTTCATGCAAAAACATGTTTTTTCTGTGTTTTATTTTTTGTCCCTTAGGATACTGGATAAAGCTGGCCCCTCTCATGCCAGGAAGTACACTGTGGCTGTGTACTTCAAGGGGGAGAGGATCGGTACAGGAGTGGGCTCCAGCATACAGCAGGCTGAGATGGCAGCAGCAAGGGATGCACTCAAGAACTGTGAGTTACTCAGGACAAACAATACTCACTGACAACATGGCAAGAGGCAGTGTACAGACAGATATTTGATGTATGACTGCCCACTGGTGTTATACACAGAGGCACTTGTATCTGTGTTTTTTTGCTTTATTTTTTCTTCTTCTTCTTCCATTCCAAACAAATAAGGTTAATGTGCTGAACCAGGCAGCTGTCATTGGTTGACGTTATGTAGCAAGTGGCAGGACAGAGTTGGAGGGGCTGGTCATGATATATATGAATACATTTCAGTAAGAATAAACAGTGCAGTAATTTGTTAGGATAGGTGTATTTGCTATGTTACCTTTCTAGTTAGTAAACGACTTCCATTATTGTGTGCTCCAACTGAAGCCATGGATTGTTGTTGTTGTTCTCCAGACAAGTTCCCCCAGCTGGCTCACCAGCGCAGGTTCATGGACAAGAAGTACAAACATCTCCGCAGGATCCTCGACATCGAGGAGGAGAGGAGCGGGAAAAGGAAAGAAGGAGGGAGAGACAAGGAGAGGAGGAAGGACAGAAGGAGGGAGCCACCAAAGAAGAAGGCCAGAAGACCAGAGAGGGGAGCAAGTCTCCAAACTTGAAGTGATTTGCACTGCATTAACCCTCTATTATCCTAACAGTTTAAACATTCTCATTATGTAAATACCGGTAAGGCTAATATATTATTGACTTTTCTCTTCAAAGAAGGGCCAACTTGAGACTGCAGAGGAAAGAAGGGAAGAGGAGACAGAGAATTTTGAAAGTGTCCAAAAGAAGATCTAGAACCGAACTACCAGATACTTCTCACCCTTAAAACCTGTGAACAAGAGGCTGAAGCAGACATTAGATAAGAGATATTATAGACAAATGTTCAAATCTTTGTCAGTGTTGCAGGGTGAAAGATACTCTACATTTTTTAAGGTGTAGACCAGGGGTTTCTCTTCCTCTGTTGTAGGTCTTTCATGCAAATTACTAGACTATATGTAGTACAACAGCCAAAAGGCTTTAACTTTTAGTGCATCCAACTTAACATGGATGACTCTTCATATGAGCTGCAATATAGGTAGTAATGTGATAACAATGCCATAGAAATATAGAATTGAAATGAAATGTTAAAAGTTGTGCCATGCTATTTTATATGATTGTACTAATACTTAGTCATTTTATGTGTGCATTTAAGGCATGGTATGGCAGTGAGAGAGGTATTGGTCGAAACCAATACTACAATGTGAATTTATTCGGGACCATGTTCTTCATGAAGGCATCTTTTTGCAATAATGACAGGATGGCCTATAAAGATTTAAGCTGTTGAAGCCATAAGTGAATATTGAATTTGAGGTTTTAGCAGTAAAAGAGGATGGATGAAGTAAAAAGTGTGAAATGAACATGATTTTGTTACATGAAGGAAAACAGTGCAGTATTACAGGCATACTGGTAACTTTACCAGTACATGTTGAATGAAGAAGCCAAGCTTAGATGTTGCTATCTGTATATAAAGTATAAGTTGCGTTGGAGGTACAAGTCATGTAGAATTGTCAAAAGTCTCACAGTTCTATAGGAGATTCCATTTTAGAAAGAAATGTATTGAAAGTTGACCGTGAGTCACCCTATGAATTACAGAGGATAAATTGCGATGAAACTGCAACCATGTTTTATTTTACAATTTGTTTGTGTCTATGTGTTTGTGTGTGTGTGTGTCTATGTGTGAGTTGTGTTTGTAAATATGTATGTAAACTGCAAACACAAAAGAATATGCGTACCTTATAACTTGTGATTTTGACACTTTTTAATATCTATCAAAGTCACTATAGCACCTACAGCTTTCTTTAATTGTGGGAACTTGGAAATAAGAGAATGTCCTTTCAAAAAAATATTGATTGCTAGCATACTGAGTGTAGGGGAGGCAGATTATGTTCGGTTTGTAACAGCTGGTGGCACAAGAGGAAGTCGAGCACTCTTCACCACCACTTTACAGTGTACCTGTGGTCGCAGCAGTACGTGGGCAGGCTGAAGTTAGGACATTGTTTGGTGGTTTTCATTTTTACAGCCCCAAACATGTGTTAGAAATCACAGAAACTTTGGAACAGTCGATCTCTCAGACCATAAACGACACACAAACCAGACACGTTTGATTTTAGGTGATAAGTTTTGATTGCAATATTTCTGTGTGGCCAAGGAGGATTAAATGAGCATTTAAACCTCTTTGGTATGAGTAGGTTTTATTCAAAGGCCACCCCGGAATTGCTAGGTCCTGACATTATTTCCGACTTGCAGATTTGAGCTGCGTCGATATACGCGTGTGTATTTGTGCCTCATGAGAATATTTTAAGGGAATACTTTGAGGGAAAGTACTTCAACCTTAGGGAATGGGTTTCCATATGGTTGCGCGCAGGTTTGCTAGCGTTTGTGTTGAGTGATGTGGAACAGGTTTGCTGTAGGCGTCCCCTTTGAAAAGCTTTCAGACCGGATTTTTGAGATCTGGGACACACACACAGAGTCTAAAAATGGACCCAACCGGAGCGAAACTTGTCAGCCTTACCGCTGTTCTTGTGGGCAAGCTTGTTTTTAACTTGCTTCCTTTAAAATGTATGCCTCGTCGGTCCTCAAGTGGAGACTCTGAACCCACCGGACACCCCGGTCGGACAGTGACTTTCCTCAACTGTTTCGCGGGAGGCGTTTTTCTGGGGACGTGTTTCTTGGGACTCCTGCCCGCCGTGAGGAAGAAGATGTCGTTACTCCTGGAGGCGCGGAACTTCAACCCGGACTACCCCGTGGCGGAGTGCGTGTCGGTCATGGGCCTGCTGCTGTCCATCCTGGTGGAACAGGTCGTCATGACGTGGCGCGCCTACGGACAGTCCACGGTCTTCGAGCTGAGTTTTCACGGTACGGAACCTCTCCTTTAGCCTGGTGTCCAGTCAAAACAATTTTACTATCGTTTCTGTATTATCTGTCTCCAGGCTCCTGTCTCAGTAGCGTACGGACAGTCCACGGTCTTCGAGCTGAGTTTTCACGGTACGGAACCTAATCTCCAAGCAGATCATACGGTGGCAAGGCATTATCCAGAGGAGTGTCCATTAGCAATGGCCAATGGATACTGTCTGGCTAATGGATACTGCCTGGCCAATTTGATACTGTCTTTTGCGCCCACCGAAAGATCTGCTTGGAAATTACGGAACCTCTTTTTTAGCCTGTTGTCCAACTAAAGCTATTTTAGCTGTCGAATGTCTCTATTTTATCTGTATTGTTAGCTAAAATACATTGTAGTTATGGACACCAGGCTACCTGTCCTAACCTTGTTGAAAGCTTTGAACTAAAATGCCGATTTTAAGCAATATGTAGACTTCGGTTTGTAGCAACTTGTACTCGGGAGTGGAAATTTTAACCGAGTTTCTGTAGATTAATATGTTTGTGAATTGGATAGCCATAGCCTGAGAGCTTTTAGTATACATTTTACTAGTAGCTGTTGTAACACCAGAAGACATGAGGTTGACTGATGCATGCGACGCGTCAGCTCACAACCACTGGGCCAAAAGGTCCAGGACCCATTGGGCTGGGCAGTTGGTCACGCTTATACCTCGCTGTAACACTGTTTTGATTCCCTTGCATATCATTCATTTTTATGCAATCACGAATAGCATTCCCTAGTCAATTAATTATTTGGGCCTCTCTTCCTCAAATTTAAGGTCATGGCCACTCTACGGAGGAACAATGTATCCTCGCCAACCCTGGGAACAAGTCACCCTCGTCCCCACTGCAGATCCAGCGCCACAGGCCAGACGGCGAGTCGTTCAGTGTCAGACCGTACGCGCTCCTTCTGGGCCTGTCCGTGCATTCCGTGTTCGAAGGCCTGGCCATAGGACTGCAGGACAACGTCACTCTCGTCCTGAAGATCTTTGCCGGGATAGAAATTCACGAATGCCTGGTGGCGTTCGCGTTAGGAGTGAACCTCGTCAAACACGGCATGGCGACGAAAACAGTCATCAAAGTAGCGATCCTGTTCTCCACCATGATTCCACTGGGTATCGTACTCGGGATGGGTGTTCAGAGCATCAAGAGCTTCGGGGGTGAAGTGTTGGCTGTAGTTCTGCAAGGATTCGCTGGGGGGACCTTTTTGTACGTCACCTTCCTGGAGGTTCTCGGTCAAGAATTCAACACCAGAGACCGCAAAGTTGCGAAAGTCTTCTTTGTAGCCACGGGGTTTCTACTGATATCAGTTTTGACGTATTTCTTGAAGAACAATATTTGACTCTATTTACACCAAATGTTCATGATACAAATAATAAATGTAGGTCAATATCGTCAAGTCAAGACCCCATCACCCCAATCCTACTTGCTTAAAGCACATCGTCACTGACCCATTATGATAAAGACAACACAAGAACACATTTTACTTGTATCATTGTATGAAGCGATCAATTTTATATCCTTGAATAATAATAAGATTTGTCCGAAATATTTTGTTCACAAGACTATACAACAAATTTGGGTTCAACAAATGAGGTTACCCTTTATGGATGACGTATTACTAGTATTAAGGTTTCTAACAACTAATGCAAATGAGGTGCTGAATTAAAAATCACATGTTACTCATCTTCTTAGCCACTTTTGAAAGCAATGATGATTTCATTGATTGATTGGAGGAGAGTCCTGCCATCAATCACCGAACAGTTACGCCGAATATGTTCCTGAACCACTGATTTGATTTGTGGTTCATTGGACACATCAGGCGTTTGAGTGAGGAAGTCAAGAAGCAGCGATCCTGTCTCTGAGTCTTCCTTGAGACACTCGGTGACGTTGATGTGGCTTTCGTCCTCTGAAGTGACGTAACTGATGGCCATGGCGTCAAGACACTGTTTGACGTCACCAGAATGACGAAGTCTCGTGTTCAAAGGGTCATCTTGGATGAATGTCTCCCTCATCGTTTTCCACATGTTCCCCCAACCACTTTTATCTGTGAATGTGTAACACGATATGTTGAAAACAGCACTGGCAGCAGATGTGACAAAGGAAACGGAAACAACATTTTGAGGTTTATTCAGTATCAAGAACCGCTTCAGTGCCCATCTCAACTCACCTGACTGCATGGCAATGAACAAGCAGCCACCGTCTGCCAGCTGTTCCCATGTGTTCCGCAAGGTGGCGTGAAGGTCTTCTACATGGTACAGAACGTGTATCGCATGGATCAGGTGGAACGTGGTGTCTTCCTTTGTTGTGAAGTACTCTTCTGCTGTCTGCTGGCGCCAGTCAAACTCCACAGCGCCGAGGCTCGCGTCCTCACGTACCAGTGACTGTGGAAGACAATCATTATATCCATACCAATATACTATAGGTCTTTCTCGTCGACAATTGTTTCACTTTCAATTGTCTAGCAATGTGTATGGTAGAGAAACTGGTGAAGAAGCATGAAATAAGCATTATTTCTACAAGTGATTCCCACCTTGTATCGGCCGATCATTTCTTCCGACGGCTCCACAACCCTGCTGTACACATTGTTGTGGCGCTGTAGAAGCCTCTTTAATATGACGCTGTCAATCTCCCCTGGAAAAGTATAGATTCTTGTGTATATATATATATATATTGTTTGTTTAATAATGTTTATGTGTATACTTTAAAGGCACAGTGACTATAGATATCCAACTACTGGCAGGTAATGACTAGTATCTGTTGTGACTGGTTTGACACTGCCACTGTGAAGGTGAACATATGGTGTCTCACCTGATCCACTCCCTATCCCCAGCACACGCACTCCTGACTCACACGGGATAGTGTCTGGAACATTTGATCCGTAGAACTGGAAGTAGTTCTCCAGGTTAACCTCCTTCGCAGCTCTATAAGTTCTAAAGCTTGCAACATACCGCTCTGGAGAGAGATGCAGCTTTCCGATCTTTAGCCAACCTGTCGGATACACCCGAAAATTATTTCATCAGGTTGGTAGAACACATTGGGATTTGCTTATACGCAATCAGAGATTCGGGTGAGAGTTAGTACTCCAGTCAGAAGCAATGCAGAAGGTGTCTGGTAGATATCGAAACGAGAGCAACGTAGGAATAATCCCTGGTTGTGTATAAGAAAATCCAAATATCCTGTCGGATACAATTCTGGGTTATACTCGTCGTACAAAGATTGTCAATTTCTTACGCCCAAACATTGGGTATCATGGCGTGTAAAAATGTTGATCGCACGATTAGCATTCTCGTGACGTAACTTCATTATTTCGTACGTAGTCACAGTTGTACAGTGTGTGGGCAGTGAGTCTATAGTGACCGCCGAATGCATCTAAACGCTTATAAAATGTCCATACCTGCCATGGCGGTGCACTTTTGTCGCAGTTCCCTGAACTTTGCCCGTCCTGCACTTTAACCTCCTTGATCATGACTTTGGCTTCTAGCCAACACAGAGAAGGAGAAGGTGTTGATCACGCCCCTCATTTGCAAACAGCTGGCAATGACCTGGATTTGTTCAATCCACAGAGCAAATGATTTACTAACGATGTGCTGATGCTATGATAACCACAACAGCAGATTGAACGTTTCAAAGCCTTGAGGCGTTTCGAGCTGACTTTATAATAATTGGTACGTTGTCACCAAAGTACACATGTACTTGTACTAAGTAACAGGTGCCAGACATAATACATGTAGAGGTTATCGAAGGTACGAGGATGTCATCGATGTTTCAATGGTTCAAAATGCTTAGGGTTACGGGTTCACCATGATTTAGCCACTTCAAACCAGTTCAGACTGCCTATTGCAATGTTGTCAAGTAACTCACCTATCTGTATCATCCAAGATCTAAAACACGCCTTTGAACAGAATATTCTACATATTTTGTTCACAATTTTTGTAAGTACATGTACTACATATCAAACTAGAGTTTAGCAAATGAAGTTAACCTTTATTGATGGTGTATTGTTTCTCGTTGATAAATTACAAATGAGGTAATGGATTGCATAATCTCTTGTTACTCCCCTTCTTAGACACTTTTGAAAGCAATAATGATTTCATTGATTGATTGGAGGAGAGCCCTGCCATCAATGACCGAACAGTTACGTCGAATATGTTCCAGAACCTCTGATTTGATTTCTGGTTTATTGGACACGTCAGGTGTTTGAGTGAGGAAGTCGAGAAGCAGCGACCCTGTCTCTGAGTCTTCCTTGAGACACTCGGTGACGTTGATGTGGCTTTCTTCCTCTGAAGTGACGTAACTGATGGCCATGGCGTCAAGACACTGTTTGACGTCACCGGAACGACAAAATGGCGTTTTCAAATGGTCACCTTGGACAAACGTCTCGCTCAGCTTGTGCCCCAGTTTCCCCCAACCACTTTTATCTGTGAATATGCAACGGAAAGTATGACAAAGAGCACTAGCTACTTTTTTTGTGAAACGGAAACAAACATTTTTGAGGTTTGTTCAGTATCAAGTACTGCTTGCGCTTCAGGCCCATCTCATCCCAACTCACCTGACTGCATGGCAACAAACAAGCAGCCACCGTCTGCTAGCTGTTCCCACATGTTCCGCAAGGTTGCGTGCAGGTCTTCCACATAGTACAGAACGTGTATCGCATGGATCAGGTGGAACTTGGTGTCTTCCTCTGTCGTGAAGTACTCCTCTACTGTCTGCTGGCGCCAGTCAAACTTCACAGCGCCGAGGCTCGCGTCTTCACGGACCAGTGACTGTGGAATATTATTATTGGCATTTATTACAGCAATTACTATGTCAGAGAAACATGTTAAAGGGTCATCGTACATCTGTACAAGTGATTCCCACCTTGTATCGGCCGATCATGTCTTCCGACGGCTCCACAACCCTGCTGTACACACTGTTGTGGCGCTGTAGAAGCTTCTTTAATATGACGCTGTCAATCTCCCCTGGAAAAGCATAGATTCTTGTACATGTGTATTTTGTGTTTTTGTTGATTTTTAAATACTTTATACACACTACAGAACTACAGATAATGATCAATATCTGTTGTGGCTGGTTTGATACTGACGTCACCGCGAAAGTTAACATGGCGTCTCACCTGACCCACTCCCTATCCCCAGCACACGCACGGCGGCGCCCGGCTCACACAGGACAGTGTCTGGAACATTACATTTGATCCGTAGAACTGGTTGTAATTGTCCAGGCTAACTTCCATCGCGGCCTTATAGGCTCTGAAGCTTGCCGTGTACCGCTCTGGAGAGAGGGGCAACTTTCCGAACTTTAGCAACCCTGTCGGAATACACCTCACTTTAGGGTTCAGTCATATTCGTCCTACTAAGATTATTAACATTTTAGGGCCAAACAATAATTGACATCGTGTAAACATGTTGAGCACGTGATCGTTGTACGATCGCAACATGTACAAGGTGTATGTAGTTTTGGATGTAGCCGTTCATGTGTCGTACAACATTCAACTATTTTATCAGGGAAAGGGCTGTCTTATCCTTGTCGGGGACGGCTCTGTCACAGCCTGCTTGAAAAGCCGGCATCGAGCACTGGTATGACGGCAGCATCATATGTAACGTTATCAAGTTTGCAACGCATTCTTCTAGATTGTTTCACTATTTCTTAAAGGCCGTAGCTACAGTTGTGCAGTATGAGGGCGCTGAATCTAGCACTCCTACCCATTAAACGTGTACCACTGAATACATCTGTGATATTTTCAGAAAATGTCCATACCTGCCATGGCGGTGCACCTTTGTCCTGCACTTTAACCTCATTGACTTTGGCTTCTAGCCAACACAGAGGAGGGAAGGTGTTGATCACGCCCGATTTATAAACAGCTGGCAATGACTTGGATTTCTTCAATAGGACGAGCAAATGATTTACTAATAATGTGCTGACGTTAATGTTGTTGATAATCGCAATACTGTACTAGAGTAAACGTTACTGAAAAATAATGACGTTTCCCGGTACGTTCCCACCTAAGTACGTATACTTGGGCTTGTACTATGTAACAGCTGCCCGATAACATAGAGATGATGTCATCGAAGGTACGAGGACAAAAGTAGGGATGTTCTTTAATGGTTCAAAATTTCAACGGTTACAAGCTCACTCTGCAATTAGCCCCTTCAAACCTGTTCTAATTATGTTTACCCAGTTCTAATTATGTTTACATAAGTTTCTTCCCCTTCTTCTCCAAACCATAAGGTCAATGACCTGACCGAGACTGTCTGTTACCATGGTAACTAGTGTTGGGTTACATCATGTTTACAGCAAGAGGGATTTAGACTCCTGTCTCATTATATATATGAATGTGTTAGACTTAGAGTAAGAATTAACAGAGAAGACCATATGCGAAGGTAAACATTATGCATTTGCTTTGCAAACGTTACCTTTCTAGTTGCCTACTTGAATTGTTGTCAAATAATCTACACATATGATATGTAACAATGAATATATCATCAAAGATTTAAGAACACACCTTTGCACAGAATTTGCTACATATTTTGCATATTTTTGTAAGCGCTGTACAATTAACTAGAGTCCGGCGATCTCATACCTTCGTGGCCAGTGGCGTATCATTGAGGTCTCTCCTTACTAATGCAAATATGGTGCTGATTTGCAGAAATTACATGTTACTGTCATTCGTCACTCTTGAATGCAACGATGGTTTCATCGATTGCTTGGAGGAGAGTCTTATAATCAATCACAGAGCAATTACGTCGAATATGGTCCAGAACCATTGATTTTGATTTCTGGTACATTGGACACGTCAGGCGTTTTAGTGAGGAAGTCAAGAAGCAGCGATCCCGTCTCTGAGTCTTCCTTCAGACACTCGGTGACGTTGATGTTGACTTCATTCTCCGATGTGACGTAACTGACGGCCATTGCGTCAAGCCACTGTTTGACGTCACTGGAATGACAAAGTGACGTCTTCAAACGGTCACCTTGGACGAATGTGTCAGTCAGTTTGCGCTGTAGGTTCCCCATATTACTTTTATCTGTGAATATGTAACAGGAAGTTTTGAGTTAAAACTTAAGATCCAACACAAAAAAGTTCCATCACCAAGAGCTTTCGACCTGTCACTCTGGTCTTCCTCAGTAGACTGACCCAGTGAGGCTTGTCACGTGGCTTCTTTGAAGACTATTTCCTGAGAGAGGTGAAAGAGGCTATCTACATCAGGGCCCATCACCCGTCTCTGAACCGCGACGGGGACCTACATCCTCTATCAGATACCTTTGACCCAGTGTTGACGTCACACTTCAAAGAAGCCATTTGACAAGCCTCACTGGGTCAGTCTACTGAGGAAGACCAGAGTGACTGGTCAAAAGCTCTAGGTGAGAGAACTGTTTTGTGTTGGATCTTAAGTTTTTAACTCTAAACATGTAACTACCAATTGCAACATGAACTTTCATGATAATGTAACAAGTTAGTACTTTTGATGTTAATTTTCACGGCCATTTGGCCTTTTCTAGTAATCTGAAAGAATAAAATGAGGCAGCTAGGGAATGAAGTTATGTATATCTCCTAGTGAAAAATAGCACCAGGAGCAGGGATGGGTATCGTTACCGGTGTTATAGAAAGGAAAACATTTTTTGTGGTTTTTATGCAGTATCAAGAACCGCTAAAATCACCTGACAGCATGGCAATAAACATGCAGCCACCGTCTGCCAGCTGTTCCCACATGTTCCGCAAGGTGGCGTGCAGGTCTTCCACATGGTACAGAACCTGTATCGCATGGATCAGGTGGAACTTGGTGTCTTCTTTCGTCGTGAAGTACTCTTCTGCTGTCTGCTGGCGCCAGTCAAACTTCACAGCGCCGAGGCTCGCGTCTTCACGGACCAGTGACTGTGGAATATACTAGTAATCATTACATTTCAATCCATACCATCATACCATATACGTCTTTCATTTATTTCATTTGTCTAGCAATGTGTATGGCAGAGAAGCTGGTGAGGAAGCATGAAATAAGCGTGCATCTGTACAGGTGATTCCCACCTTGTATCGCCCGATCATTTCTTCCGACGGCTCCACAACCCTGCTGTACACACTGTTGTGGCGTTGTAGCAGCTTCTTCAGCATGACGCTGTCCATCTCCCCTGAAAGGGCATACAGGTTTTTCTGTATTGTCTATTTTCATGATTGTCAAAACCAGTGATCACCGTGAAGGCCAACATGGCGTCTCACCTGATCCACTCCCTATCCCCAGCACACGCACGGCGGCTCCCGGCTCACACAGGACAGTGTTCGGAACATTTGGTCCAAAGAAGCGGTAGTAGTTGTCCATGCTAACCTCAATCGCAGCTCTCCAGGCTCTGAAGCATGCGAAATACCGCTCTGGAGAGAGCTTCAACTGCCCGATCTTTAGCAAACCTGTCGGATACAATCCAGGGTCCGGTCATATTCTTCGTACAAATTAGATTGTCAACTTCTTAGGGCCAAACATCGTGCCGATGATCATGGCTTGTAAACATATCTCTCGCACGATTACTTTATTATTTCGTATTTACAGTTGTGCAGTGTGGGCAGTGAGTCTATTGACCGCTGAATGCATCTAAATGTTCATAAAAATGTCCCTACCTGCCATGGCGGTGCACTTTTGTCGCAGTTCCCCGAACTTTGCCCGTCCTACACTTTAACCTCATTGATCATGACTTTGGCTTCTAGCCAACATAGAGAAGGGGAAGGTGTTGATCACGCCCCTCATTTGTAGACAGTTGGCAGTGACTTGGATTTGTTCAATCCGCTAAGTAAATTATTTACTCACGACGTGCTGACGTCAATAATGATCACAACAGTAGATTGAACTTGTTTCAAAGTCCTGAGACGTTTAGAGTTGACTTAATAACAGTCGGCACGTTTTCACTTGTAATAATGAATATAAGGTTCGAAATGTGCGAGGGCGGAAAGAAGAAACGATTCTATGGTTGAAATATGGCAAGGGTAACGAGCTTCTAATGGTTTAGCCAAATCAAATTATGTATTGGATATCGTAGTTATAACTGTATAATGTGTGGGTTATGAGTCTACTGACTGTTAAAACTGCCTAATACATCTGCTAAATATAAATGAAATGTTCATACAATAAAATGCCATTACATGGGTATGGTGGTGAACTTGGCTGGCACTTCGCTAGCACTTGTTTAGAAGTTCGATGTGCTTTTTTACTCTATTTTCACAAGTAACATAGTGTAAACATTCAAATTTAAGTTTAAGGTCAAATTTAAGTTTAAGGTCAAGTATAAGGTCAAATGAATAATCCATCTTTTCATACTATTGTCATATTCCTAATTCCACTTGTAAATTTTAAACTCATCAGTGTTTGTTGCCACACGAGTTGGTTTAAATGTATGTATCTAAGTAGCTAGATGATTAAAATAATTTGGGGGTAATTTTTGTGCTAATGATTCCTATCTGAATCTATGGAACATAGGAGTCAGACAATGAAGAACAGACGCACTGAGATTCAAAACACTATAATGCGTTTATTCATATACTTCACACAGAAGGTTAGAAGGAACAGATGGCGTAAGGTAACAAGCCATACTGGAGATTACGTGACACTTTTTTTCCATCGTGTAAAAATGTTCAAACCAGCTGCAACGGGCTTATTCATCATTCAGCCATGCAAGAACAACACAACACTTACAAGTCGAGATAGAGGAGTTGAAATATATTTCACCAATCACAACAACATGTATATTGTAGGGCCCTCAAAGTCAGGTACTACGTAGAACATTTTTTCACCATCCCTTCTCTCATCATAAGTGCTCTTTTGATATAGGCTATCTATTCTCGCTAATCTGAGGAAATTTGGCATTATCAATAGTATAATTATAGCTTCGTAAGGAATATAGTATATTGCATCAGAGTCTAAAAGAAGTTATTTGACCGATTTGGCCTCCTGTATCAAGAGAATGCGACGTCAAAATCGGCGCCATTTTGAAAAAAAAAGATTTTGAATTCTTTGGAAAAGGTCAGCAAGTCTTTTGAAGTCCTAGTTACTGTTTTTGTGGCAATTGAAAAATAGAAAACCGTCTGAATGTTTCTGCAAGTGAATATGTAAATTAGAATGGATTCCAGTTTTCGTAATGATACATACAATCATCAATTGTAATTAACATTTTTTTCGTCGTTGTTGTTGTTGATTTCCAAACTCCGCCGCTTTTTTTAAATCCATGTCTGGGAATCCAGGTTAGCTGCACGCATGCGCTCTCACCCTTCATCTCCCGACACGTCATCAATATGGCGCCACATCTCGTGACGTCATCATTCTGCGTGCTCTTGCCTGTACCATCCTTGAAATGCTTTCTACAAAAAACACTTCATACGGAACCAATTTTTTTTCTAACGTAACAGCGCCCGATTTTACGATAGCAGGGAAATCACAGTAGCATGTTGCAATAAGTTTTTTTTCCGCTTTACACACGTCAAGATACTGAATATCTACATACGGTAGACCTGCAAAATAGATCTACTCAAGCAGAGTCGGAAAAGCGCTGAGGTACATACAAGTAACAATCGTCTTGCGTACGCTGTTTGTCTAGAGTGAGCCTTTCTAGAAAAGTCAATATATTCAATATTGTTCCATATTGCACTACTGTGTTACTTTCACATGCCTTTTGCTACATATACTGTATATTGTAGTGGAATCACACATGACATCGTGGGGAGTGTTTCTGGTTAATCAGGTTAGTTATCAAGGACAAGTTACACCTATTAACTTGAGTAATACTCTCTTA